CTAATAAAATGTGGTGAATTTAATTGGTTGGAAACTCTAAGAAATATATTTTTAAAAAGATGTCAACTTTTGGACAAGGGTAAACTTCCCGGGACATTTACAATCTGCATGAGGTAACAGGAGGCACGGATTGCACTGAACGAAGGCTAGGAGATTGCTAATCAGCACTGATGTGTTATACAGGTAAGACTGCCCGATCAACAAAAAACATTTCGACATATCAAAAACATAAATCAAATAGCTCAAAAATAATGAACATTTATGCAATTCCGGCTTTATTTTATTTTACTAGAGAGATGTCAGACCTATAAATAAAGGCATATGGATGCATAAATTCATCTATAATTCAGGATAAACTGAGATTGAATAATGTTTTAAACATTTAAAAATTTAACTCTTTAAAGACTGGGTCAGGACCCACGTACGTGGGTACGAGGGTACGTGGGTAGGAGGTTTTTTATACAAAGCCCATAGTTGATCAACTTATTTTATACATATTAAATATGCTGAGTGTTTATCTTTCTCGAGTAGTATGATCTGCGACTGATAAATGGCGGCTAAACTCAAAATGTCAAATTAGTTGAATTCCAAGAAACAATGTATTGAAGATGCTTCAAAGGGTGGGAAAATCTACATTTGGAAATATTGCATTAATCCCATGATCGGGGGTTAGGTTCAGCGGAACCAGAGTGCCTTCAAAGATGTGAGTTTTTTTTTTTTTCCATTTCTCATTTATTCCATATATAATATGTAAAACTACAATACAATATTATTGCCTACGTATTTCAACATTGTCGGCAATATACAAAACATGTCAAACTGGAAATACTGGACATACAATAGATTTGGTCCGCAATATGGATGGTGAAAAATGTTAGAGGCCTTTGGGGTGGTTTAATCTAAAATATCAAGAGCTAAACAGATGTAATGGCTAACTATTTGAATAATTTGTTCATTCTCCATTACTGTTAGATTTCTGTCTCCAAATGATAAAAACTGTATTTTTTCATTGGAGTTTAAGTTTTGGAATCCTAAGGTTTTTAGTCCTGCTAGAAGAGTGCATCTTTCTTGTTGCAGCAGAGGGCAGAGGGCAATATTCCTTGGCATTGTCATATTCATTTTTGTAGTAGAAACACGAGAGTCATGGCTCCCGTTTCCTCTTACTAACCTTTTAAATCTGGAGATTGGTTGGCCTTTCCTGTCAGCGAATGGTATTTCATCCCACAGGGTCAGAGCCCTGAGAATTGTTGATTTTTTGAATGAATTACTAATTAGAGAGGGAATTCTATAATGTCTAGGTTGCCTTAGGGGCCTATTTTGGATATTTTCGTATGTGCTAACTAAATCACAAATGAAAGGGGGAAAACAATGGTATCTAGCCTTAAAGGCAAAGATTTTGAGATGTGAGGTCCTAATAACAGACGCTGAAGGTATTTGTTTTTCTTCCCAGTTTGAATGGGAGATCTACTAGGACACGTAGATCTAATTTTTTATTTCCTGTACAAGCTAGATATCCAGTCATTGTTTATAGACTCGCAAAATAATTTTGTTGCAAATGACTAAATCTTGGCCTATAATAATTGGTGCAAGTTAGAGTATAATACACACAGTCACTTTGTTCCGAAATTGTCTTGTCCCGAAGCCAAATGTTCCAAAGCAAACCGTTCCGATTTTTTTTGTTCCGTGACATCTACCACTTATAAATAGAATTTAGCATGGAATTTGATATAGTCATCTAGTACTTTAATAGGACTTACAAAAATTTGGGTATTTTTGTCACCGTTTCTCGTCCGTTAATGTATCCATATTGAAATGGTCTGATCTCTTCATATAGGGTGTATTATATGGTCATTAATTGTATTGTCATTAGATAAACAATTTTAGTTGTCTAGACAATAATATTCGGAATAAATGTAGACTACATGTATTATAATGCATAATTTATTAAGATTAGTAACACTTCATTAAGAAACTGAAAACATTGATTAATGATTGGTGTAATGACAATAATTAGTAGGTATGAACCACTGAAGATACAAATAGTTTTGTTAAACATACCATAAATTGAAATGTTTACACAATAATTAAAAATCTCATAACGTACATAGCATAGAGTTACAGTATCTCAAGCACATGAACTGTAGTATGTAGAGCGTACATTGATTAAAGAGTACATAGTATATATAGGGGTTATGCACTGGGAGGTTTTGGATACAGGGAATATCCCGAGGGATATACAATATATCTTCCCGAGGGACCGAAGGGACCGAGGGAAGATGTATTGTATATCCCAAGGGATATTCCATGTATCCAAACCGACCGTGCATAACTGGTGTATCTCATACTTGAGTGGGTTTAGGGTAGATATAACCTTTTCCACCTTTTTCAAATGACAAGATATTTATATTTAACATTTTCGTAATATTCTTTTTGTTCAATACAATGAAATTGTAACATTTAAACTTAAAAAATTTAAATTTTAAAATTAAAATTAAAAAATTAAAACTTTTGATATTTAAACTTTTTTAAACTTTTGAAAAATTCCCGGGAGCGGGATGGATATATTATATCTGCCCGCATTTGGCCTGGAGCGGGACATATGCAATATATCCTGCCCGCTCCTCAGATATGATATATATTCCCGAGTGATATCTACCCCAAACCCACTTAAGTATGAGATACAGAGTATTACATAAAAAGTACAAAGTATATATGGAGTATAGAATATATAGTATGTAGAGTATATAGTATATAGAGTACATAGTATATGTGGAGTCAGAAGAATTGAGTAGCTCCCATAATTATTCCATATTCCGTGAACAATCGTGAGCACGTGCTCTCTCAGAGCTGCGGATGCAAAAAGTAGAATTTGAAATCATGGAAAAGGAACGTTTTCAGTAAAGTAAAACTCCACTGTGGAGCCCCACGAAATGAAGAAATCCTCAGTGAGGGTCCACATTGTCTTTTCTGATTATCTCCATTATTTCCACAAGAAATTCTTAGATATAGATCTGTTAGACCTAATGTTTCTAGCTTATTGATTGATCATCAAGTAAAAGTCCTGAGAATAAGGAGAAATGTTTAAAAGAAAAAAGGAAATGAAGCCTTTCAGGGCAGTCCTGATTCACTAGGAATCAACTGGAATACGTAGTGTGTAGGTTCCAGTTTCAAAATACATAAACAGTAATTGTTTGGATGATTACAAAACGATTCCCTTGCTTAGGAGATGAAGACAGTTTACTAAGTACAGAGTCCAAAAAGAGTTACATCCCTCCAAGATATCTACAATGTGCTTTCAAGTGCTACAAAATGGAAAACTGTCTTGTCATTTGTAAATATCAAAATAATTAATGATCTATTTCTGAGATGAAATCATATTCCAAAACTGGAACCCACGCACTACAGAATGACAAAATAATAATTTAAAATTTGATGCCCATGCTGAAATGAAGACATCATGTCTTTGTTTCCTGTTGATCCCCAGTGTAATTATCAAAAATTGTATTCATGAACATAATTTATTTAAATCAGTATATATCCTCATAAATTTACTGCAAAAATATTTTCAGAGAGATTTCAGAGGAATTTCTTTTTCAGGAAGTTGCTGTTTGGTACAATCTGAGCCGTTGTTAGGAATATATGTGTCTAGATTTATGTTTCATTAGCAAGAAATAGATTCCTTCTGAGTTTAAATGTAATAAACACATCTGTTGCTTTTTAAACCAGCCCTTTTGAAATTCTGGGGCTATTACAGGGTGACCGGAAAAAAAGGAGACCATTGAAATAGGCAATATCTCCTAAAATAGACTAGTGACATCAATGAAATTTTGCATACATCAGGACAGTTCTATGGAAATTTGTTCCTGAAAGTGTCAATACAAGCAGTCAACTGGTTCAGGAGCTATGATCATTTACATAACATGCTCCAAATAGGCGCAATTGAGACCAACGCAGAGCTGGATACATTTGGCAAATACCCTTACATATTCCGACCTTGTTATGGCATTACATTTAGCATTTATTGCCACCTTTAGGTCAGCAATTGTCTCAGGATTGTTTTGGTACACATTGTCTTTCAAATTGCCCCACAAAAAGAAATCAGGTGGATTCAAATTTGAGGTGTATGGAGACGAAGCTTATCTGACCTATGGCTTCTGACTCAGTGGTTCCACTCAGTTACAGTATCATCCTAAGGAGGTTTTGGGCAGCCCTTGGTTTTCATATGGGATTTAATTGTGCCATATAGTGGTTTTAGTAACATGGCACTATGCCCAATACCTAAAGTGACTCTTAAGATTTGGTAAATCAGCACTTTGGCAACAGGATGATGAACCACATGTCAGATAACCCTTCATTGCCATTACAGCCTAGACTTGAATCCTGCTGATTTCTTTTTGTATGGATATTTGAAAGACAATCTATACCAAAACAATCCTCAGACTATTGTTGACCTAAAGAAGGCAATCACTGCTATATGTAATGCCATAATAATGCCATAGAGGGCAGAACATGTAAGGGTAGTTTGCCATATGAATCCAACTCTGCGTTGGTCTCAATTGTGCCTATTTGGAGCATGTTATGTAAATGATCATAGCTCCTGAACCAGTTGAATGCTTGTATTGAAACCTTCAGTAACAAATTTCCATATAACTGTTCCAGTGTATGCAAAATTTCATTGATGGCACTTGTCTAGTTTAGGAGAAATTGATTACTTCAATGGTCTCCTTTTTTTCCGGTCACCCTGTAGATAGGACCTCACACTGTGGTCATGAATGGAATGCCTTATTGGGTAATTATAGATGACAATAACTATGTTAGTTATTGGCACAAGAAATATGACATGGAAATATGACATGCTGTTAGCAGTTAATACATCAATACCAAATATTGCCAGCTAATTTTGCATTGCTTTAGTGAGTGCCTTTTTCACCATATCTGTAATTAAACCAAGAAATGGTGTCATTTTTATGTTTACAGTATTTTCACTTTGTGTTTTCCAGGTCCTTTGAAAATATCAATGGTAACAATTGGCGAGAGAACAAGAAAAAGGGAAGAAGAGAGAACCGATACATCTAAAGAATATTTTAGTGAAACGAGGCTAGAAGACATTGTTGTATTATTTCAGATATGCAGTAACATTGCCTATACTTAGGCAAACTGCTTCAAATATAACCACACAACAAGTGCTTTTATGTTAAACAGTGTGTCCAATCGTAACACTGGCGGGTCCAAGCATGCCGATTCAGAAGGTGAAGAAGGAAATCCCACGCGATATTCTGCATGGAAATTCAAGTCCTCAATATAATGGTCAACAAAATGCAGGAGGTCCAGGTCTCAATGCTTTACGTAGCCAGCTGAGTAGCCAAGGCCCCAATACAAATACTAAACCCCCCATACCACCCTTAGATGAGAATGCTCTCGATATTACCAGTATTAAGGGTATATTTGGTTGGACAACAGTGGATGGAGTAAGCTTACCTTATTTATTTCGTGAAGCCAAATATGTCGCCGTACGTATGGTAGAACTCAAGTTATTATTTAAATATCCGAATGCTTATCCAGAAGAATTGAAGAAACGTCCACCATTGATGAGTCATTATGTAACTGAGGCAGAGGCTAAACTCCTTAATGAAATCAACATTGAACACTGTGAATCAGAGTTTGGACGACACCAATTCACTGTAAAAGACTTAGTTGTTCGATTAGAGGAGTTCAAAGACTTTTATAAGATCGTTAAGGAAGCTTTTCCTGAAACGGATAACTCAAGAGAGAGCAAAGATGAGGGTGATGTGCAAGGAGGGTGGTTACAAATCAATAATACAGTTATACCTTATATATTACGTAACCCTGTGGGGAAGTTGGTCCCACTCTCCGTGGTGCAATATGCTGCTGAGCTACTCAATGGAGTTCAAATAGATGGCACCACTTTACCAACAGAAAAAGAGTGTACATATTTTAATGACAGTTGCAAAAAAGCAGGACTTAACTTTTACTTTGGAAGAACTACAAAGCTTATGAAACTGACTCAAGTGACTCAACTGTGTAAACTAGATGTTTTAGAAGTAAATGAGCTTCCTAAAGATAATCCATTTGGTGCTGCCAGATTCAAAAACATCCCCTACCCCACCCGAAATGGATACAGCAACCAAAAGGGTCCTGGTAGCTATATGGGGGGTAATCCCCGCCAAGGACGTCCTGGTCAGCCAAACATGGGAGGTCACCGTGGACCGCCTCCCCCATATTACCCTCCAGGAATGATGTCAGGGATGCAGAGACCAATCTCAGGCACTACTGGAGGTCAAAGAGGTTCTTCTGGCACTACAAATGTTAGGTATCCCACACAACGAAACCCAAACACACAGTCGGCTCAAGGTAAATTCTCTTTTAATACACTCTTAATACTCCTCTCCCTATTTTGTGTTAGTGGTCTCTCTGAATTTGAAGCAAGTGTAACCTTTTTTTCAATTTTAGCATATTGATATGCAAATGTCTTTAATGCCAATATTTTTCATTCATTGTTATTCAAATAGATATGTTTTGGGCTCGCAGAAGAAGGATAAGATGTTGAGGTTTATAATATGTGTGATTGAGTTGGTTTTTCAGACATTACAATTTTTGATATTTTCGAAATGGAAACCTTGACCCATTCCCTGACTCATCCTTTACAGGATTGATCAAATATACAATTTTTTAACCTCCTTTTATATCCCACTGTATGAAGTCCAGTGATATAGAGAAGCCATCCATCCAAAGGAATTTTCAATATGGCCGCTCAATTCGAAAAAATGTAATCTTTGATAACTCTTATACCTGTCGACAGATTTGGTTCACAATTTCCATGCTGATGCCAAGAGGGGGAATAACCTGGCCTTCAGTGATGACCGTATTTTTATCACACCATCGGTAGGATATAGTTGTCATGATTACGGCATTATCATGATTGTCCCACTTTTTTTGTCATTTTTTTTTTTTTTTTTTACATTTATTTCAACATAACATATTTACAAAACAAATACATTCAAAAATACATGCAATTTCTACAAATACATAGAACATTTTAATATATAGAGCTTCACCAAAAAAGAACAACATATTTATGATATAAATTTTTTAATAAATTGATCTAAATAATGATTTACTTTTTCGTTTTCATTTACACAGTTTGCATAAAACTTTAAATTGGATGCAATTTTTGATTTGAAGTTGACATTTTCATATTTATTCCTTTCTTCCGACAATTTTACCCATGTTGAATATATTGTGTAACCTATAATAGTAAGTATTAAATTTCTAAATGCTATAATATCACTTTCCATGCAATAAAAACCCAGAATAAAATGTTTCCAGAGTATTTTACATTTCAATATTTTTTCCACATCCTTCCATAGTGTTTCTACTAGCTTACATTCAAAAATAAGATGTTTTGCATTTTGAATTATATTACATTTTGAACAATTTTGGTTAATATTAGAGTTCCATTTACATATCTCACTTCCACATGCTAAAATGTTGTGAAGTAATTTAAAGTTGAATTCAGCATACTTTTTGTATTTCATGTTTGTTATTTTCAAGGAATATATTTTATCATAAAATGTTTTATCATGAGGAATGCTAAAGATATTACTCCAATGTTTTTCTAAAACATTTCGTTCTTGTTTACTTTTTATCAATATATCATATAGCATATTTGTTTTCATCTCTTCTAATTTAATCCATTTATCATTTCCTAAAAGGAAAGTTTTCCTATATTTTATGTTTGTGTATTTTACTTTTGTAGTATCATACTTATTCATCACATTTGTTATACAGGCTTTTATAAGAATGTATTCTATCATCCAATTTCTTTTGTTAACAAGTTTGTTTTTTATATAGTTTTCATTATAGAAGGTTCCATTTTCATCATAGAAATCTTTAACATATATAAATCCACTATTTATCCATTTTATGTTGTGTACCACTTCATTTTTAATTTTAAAAGATTCATTTAGCCAAAATATTTCTCCTATTAGATTTTGATCGTTTCTAGTTTTACATTTATTAAAAGCTAAGAAAATTTCTCTATAAAACAATGGCATAGGCAGTTTTGTATCTTTGGTAAAATGTGTTTTTATAAAATCATCAATTTTAAAACCACACTGTTTGATATAATATTTTGGAATATCAATCCATGATGTGTCATCATCTTGTATTCTTTTCACCCAACTTGCTTTTAATGACATTATCTTTGTTTCAACGTCTATTAAGCCCAAACCACCATTTTTAATTTTTAATATTGTAGTTTTTCTTTTGATTCTATCTTTCTTCCAAATAAAATTATAAATGATTGAATTTACTTTTTTGACAATTCTTTCGGGGACATCAAGGATAGAAAAGTTATATACTAGTTTTGAGATTCCTAATATATTGATAATCTGTACTTTACCAAATAAAGAAAGTTTTCTTTTTTTCCAAGATTCGAACAGTTTTTCAAATTCTAAGATTTTGGGGTTCCAATTTAGCTCTGCACATTTTTCTTTGTTATTGCCAATATAAATACCTAAGGTTTTAATTGGTTCATTTGTGAATTTAATATTTTCAAAGTATTCATCGGTTTGCTTTTTAAAATTACCTAGTGCTATGCCAATTGTTTTTTCTAGATTGAGACATAGACCACTTACTTCCGAAAATGTTTTTATTTCTGTTAATGCATGTGAGATTGATTCTTTGTTTTCTAAAATTAATGTCGTGTCATCTGCATGTTGAATCACCTTTGTTTCTTTTTTGCCATCAATACTAATACCTTTGATTAATTTATTATTTTCTATTTTATTATTCATGATTTCAACACATAAAATAAATAATAATGCAGAGATTGGGCATCCCTGGCGTATACCTCGTTCTATCTTTACTTCATTTGACAAAAAACCATTATTTTTTATTTTGAGAATTGGATTTGTATATAAAATTGTCACCCATTTAATAAACCTTTTGCCAAAATTCATTTTCTGAAGGACTTTGAACATAAAATTCCAATTAAGACTATCAAAGGCTTTTTTAAAATCTAGGCTAATTATCAATCCATTTCTATTCTCATTGTTTATAAGTTCTAAATAATCTATTAATAATCTGGCATTTGTTCCAATAAAGCGTTTTTCAAGGTATGCAGATTGATTTTTTCCAACAAGTTTTTTCACTAGGCTTTTTATTCTATTTGTTAATGTAAAAGCTATAATTTAGTAATCATAATTAGTAAGACTTATGGGACGGTAATTAGCAAGGAGTTGTCGATCTCCCTTTTTGAAAATTAAGTTCAAGATCGCAATTTTCATGGTTTCACATAATTCACCTTCTTGAAAAACTTCATTAATCATTTCCAAAAATATACTTTCCATATCTGACCAAAAATATTTGTAAAATTCAGGAGTTATCCCATCTAAACCAGGACTTTTATTCAATTTTAGATTTTTCACTGATGAGTTTACTTCAGATTTTGTTATATTTACTTCTAAACTATTTCTTTCACTTTCAGTTAAGGTGTAATTAAGTTCTACTTCTTTTAGATAGTTGTTCATCACTTCTTCATCTGAATTATTATTTCTATAAAGGTTTTCATAAAATTTACAGGCTTCTTTTAAAATTTCAATATCTTCTGTGACGACCTTGGATGGCGTTTTTATTTTAGTTATAACATTACTGGTTTGTCTTTGTTTTTCTAATTGTAAAAAATAAGATGTACTTTTTTCCCCCTTTTCAATCCATTTAGCCCTTGATCTAATAAACATCCCACTTTTTTTGTCATCATGATTTCAGAAAAACTGCTCATCGGATTTTCTCCAAATTAGCACACATATGATAGTTCTGGAGCTGATTAACTTTTGGTCAGCAAACTTGTTTTCTGGCAGCCATTTGAAAAAATCCACTCATTTTTCACAAAAAATGTAAATCTTTTCGTTTATAGAATTTGCTGGACCTCTGCTGAAGGAATTGTTTTCTGTTTGGCTGTTCAAAACAGTTATCATGTTTGTTGTGGAAAATTCATGTTTTGAGGTATAACTCAGGAATTATTGCTTCAGTTTGCATTGAAATTTACAGGTATGTTCTCATGTGTAATGCCAATACATATTTTAAGGTATGACTTATATTCTTCCTAAAATTCAAATTGACCACCACTTTTATTACGGAAAAGTTACATTTAAAGCCATATAATAAAAATTATTGCTTGGATGTTCTCATATAAAATGCCAATGAGGTTGTGAAGTCTTGCCACCATTTTTGCTGTAGAAAAAACAATTTAGGAGCCAAGTTTAGGCATTATTGCTTTGGCTTACATTAAAATCTCCAAATATGTTCTCATATGTTAAACGAATGAGGTTTTGAAGTTAATATGGCTGACAATGAGACTGAAAGAGCTACACCAAGTGAGCCCAATACCCATGGTACTATTTATTATATATTTTTATTCTTGTAGTTGTAGAAGGTTACTCCAACTGACATGTTAACATAATTAACAGTATTATTGTGTATTCCAGGTGCAAACAATCCACCACAGAGAGTAGCCAATTCTGCCAATGACCCCCGTGGTCCTCCCAACGTAATGATCAGTCAGAGCGGCTGGCCCCCTAGAGTACCCCAACAAGCCCAGGGGACTGTGTTTGTCCCCCCTCAATACACACAGGGTAGTTTCCATCAAATGCAAATCATGAATGGACAAATGGTTCCCATTGCTGGATCAAGGCCTGGTGGCCAATCTGGTACACTTACTGCCAAACCTGGTGCCTCTCAAAGTCAAACTCCGAATCCTACCTCGAAGAAACTCACAGAAACATTACCATGTAAAAACAATAGACCACGTGTTCCTTTAGAAGAGACACGTGCGGCACAGACACGCCCAAGCACAATCCAGAAACAACCAATGTCATCAATGAGTTACCACGTATCATCCATGTTACAAAACTCAATAGCACCAATAGAGTTTCATAAGAAAACAGTGTCCTGTTTATCTACTAACAATGACAAGTGGGCTTTAATGGAGGCTATCGGGAAGCTCTATTTCCCTTATTGTACAATGGATGAATTCCAAGAAGCACTAGAGATTGTACTACGGTGCCCAGTACGAAGTCTCACCCTTGAGGAAGAGCGTGCATTTATAGAGTTCTATGGCTTGCGAACCAACTCTCTGAACTGTAATAAAGTTGTCAAACTTGATGACTTGGAAAAATATATGACCCAGTTAAAATATATGTTTCAGGATAAAGAAGAGAAGTTCAATAATACAGCAGATACAAATGCTAACAAAAGGAAGTCCTCAGACAGTTTACATAGAGATCTGAGTGGGAAAAAACATAAGGCCAATAATGAAGGCAATCCAGGTGCTACAACTATTGTCATGAATGGGGATGATGTGATCCTAATAGAGTGATCATAATACAACAGAGAATCATGTACAAGGCAACTGGATCTTTTGTTTTACAAATGAAATACTTTAAATGTACATGTGCTGTCATATTTGGTGCCCAGTTGAAACAGCAAATAAAATGTTACTTTAAAATAAGTGAAAAACAGAAAAATTTGTTTTAATTGATACTGTACTTCTGATGAGTCATTGATACTATAATATCTCATGCATGAATTTGTGATTTTGAAGTTTTACCGCAATCAAGTATTTGCTGATTCACCCAGATGAGAGTTTGAAAATTATATTGCACCCAGTGTATATACTTCAAAAATTTATGAAACATCTTAGGCTTAGAAAGTTTTGGTTTGTTCTTCAGTTCATAAGTCTAATTAAAATTTTGTAATGTAAGTATTTAGTCATTTGGCATTTGGTCCATTCTGAAAGCATATGAAAAGGTACATGTACAGGGTGGTCCAAAAAAAGTAATCTCTGCAACAGGCTACATTTTTCTTAATACATGCATGAATTGGCTCATATTATCACATGTTGTAGAGAAAGGTCTAACATTTTAGTTGATGCCATAATATATTCTCAGTCTTAAATTTTGAAGAAATTACAAGAGTTTAACAAACATGCCTGAAAATTACATATTCAAACAGAAAACACATTTCACACTTTCATTGATCATTTGAAGCATTTTTAACTGTTCAACAGTTCAGGGGTATGTTACCTACACCAACATTTAGAGGGGGGCCTCTTATGGAAGGAAGATTCCCCCTATAACAAGGAATCTGATGACCCCTTCATCAAATATCTTTAAAAAATCAAAAGAAAATCCAATATTCAATGTTTTGAGCCATATTTTATTAGAATTGGTCCATGATTTATGAAGATATTGACATTTCAGGATCATATAGGGGTATGTTCTTGATTTCACTGGAAAATGTTTTCGTCTGAGGAAGCTAAGCACATTTCTTTGGATCACAATAACTTTGCAACTAACAAAGGTAGGATGCTAGTTTTAAGCCATAATGTGCAGGATTTAAAATTGAACAAAGTCAGAAAATATTAGTTCTTTAAGACTGCAGCTTAAAAAATTCTCAGGGGAAAGGTGTTGACGGGTTAAAAAGTCGCAGATATCGAAAATCACATTTTTTCCATTTTCAGTAATATTTGGTTAGGGCTTTTAATTTCTGCAAATTTCAAGACTAAGAAAAATGTATGGTACCAACATAAATTTTAGACCTTCCTCTACAACATCTGAAAAAAAAGAATTCCTCCAAGCAATAAGGGAAATATAGCCCATTGCAGGGGTTCACTTTTTTGGACCACCCTGTATATTGATTGATACAAAGGTTGTAATATCAAACTAACTTGCCAAGACAACTGTGTGTGTCATTGTAACCTCAGACAGCTGTATATATATGTTGATGAGCTTAGTTGCCAAGACACACTACCCTACCTCGATCGCGCATGCGCGAAATTTTTAGAATGTAAATTGTTCAATAGTACAGGGAGCGAGAAAGTAAGTTGATTATACAGAACGATTCGCTGGTTACATACAAAAACCAATTCTGAGATAGTCCTAATATACTAGAATCATGTTTTGTACAACCACTAAATGTAATTGATCTAATCTTTCTTTTCACACGAGTACAATAACAATGTACATGTGCCAATCATTTTTTCTAATGCGCTTGACATCCTAATCCAGTGGTAAATGGAGCTGTATTTGACATTCAAAACCAGGATATAATGAATAATAGAAGGAATGATACATTTCATTGGAGTTCTCGTGCATTTGAAAAAACTAAACTCAGTACCCCAGGAAGAAACTTGATATTATATTTCTGGAGAATGAAAAATGGGAAAATTTAGTTAAATTCAAGTAGCATGTCTTATCATGTCTTATATACAGTAACACGTTACCCCCCCCACCCTTTTCTTTTCTTCTCTCTTTTCTCTTGAAAAAAATAAATCTTTCAAATTTGTTGAGTTTTCTTTCAGAAATCGTCGACTACCTCCCCCCCCTCCATCCATTTTGATTTTGTACGATCACTGGGTGTGTATCTGCTCTAGTTATTTTGCATTTCATCATGAAACGCTCATCACCAGACACCTCAAAACAAACATTATCCTCTTTGTGACAAGAGGAAAAATGTTTCACAATATGTTGTTCCTTACGGCAAAGTAAAGATTTCTGGGATGACTTTTTATTCATCTTAAGATTTTAGAAAAACAATTCACAAAAATACAGTTGAATAACATACAAGAAAACATATCCACATATAACACAATGACACGCAGTTAAGATAACAGTTAACTGGGTTTTTTGTTATATACCAATGTCAAAACAAGTAACATTTTCGAAGTGAAACTTACACGCTCCCTGTACGTTAATAGGTTAACTGAAATGTATCTTGTATTGCTTTCAAGTTTTGCTTCACTGCGCCCACCATTATCTGTCTTTGCCTATATGGGTTTTGGGTGGGCCCAGAAAAAAGATTTGGCCCAAAAGAAATTTTGGGCTTAAAAAGGGGGCATCTTAAGTGGTAATCCTGATGGTGGTAGATCTTTAAGTAAACAAGAATAACATTCAATTTAAGGGATCTTACAAGTGGCAACCTTAATGGTAGTAGATCTTTAAGTAAACAAGAATAATATTCAATTTTAGGCATCTTACAATTGGTAATCCTGATGGTGGTAGATCTTCAAGTCAACAAAAATAATATTCAATTTTATTGATCTTACAATTAGCTATTTTGATGGTGGTAGATCTTGAAGTCAACAAAAATAATATTCAGTTTTAGGCATCTTACAAGTGCCAATCTTGAAGGTGGTAGACCTTTAAGTAAACAAGGATAGTATTAAATTTTAGGCATCTTACAAGTGGCAATCTTGGTGGTGGTAGATCTTTAAGTCAACAAGGAAAATATTAAATTTTAGGGATCTTACAAGTGGCAATCTTGATGCACACCCGGTGATCGTGAAAATGGGACGGAGGGGGGAGCAAGCAATTTCTGGTAGAAAAATGAACAAATCTGCAAAAATTATTTTTTCAAGAAAAGGTTTATGATTTAATTGCTAAACGAATAGGCGCACGGTATGGTAAAATATGTCCCGTATTCTACGAATTTTTTTTTGCCGATTCTCTTCTTAGGTATAAGATCTATTAAAAAAGGCGCAACGCCACCAACGTGCAAAAGTCAATGTTTTTGCTTTAAATCAAGCATTGAAGGTCTACACAACCTGCAATAAATATTTGTAAGTGACATTATCATCATAAAATTAATGACCTTAATGACTTTACAAAATATGTTTCAATACGTTGTATAAAAAATAATCGAAAATAATTAAAATGGGACGGAGGGGGGGAGCAATATGTCTATAAGATATGATATGAGATGTTACTTGATACTTTATATCCAGATTTTCCCATTATCTCCTCAATTACAAAGGGTCAGGAATTGATAACATGTTGTACTTGTTAGGTTTAGTTAGAGGGGTCAAATTAAGGTTGGCAAAATATTCCAGGAGACTGTTTATCTATAAATGTTTACCTGTCTTAACGCTTTTACTTGCTGATTTGTAGGCATATCATACACAGCACATCACACTTTGGACATGTACGTTTCAGCGAAAATGTAAGTTATTCACAGCGAAGTAACAATCTACTTGTTATTAATTATGCGATATATTTTAATTATGCAGAATTGAATAAATACAAGAAGCTCACGCGTCTCCGACTCACGACCTGATGGTTATGACGTCTTTGTCAAGCTGAGATTCTGGCGCTGTAGACTGCTCGGCCAACTGGCAATGCCCAAAAAAACATGTTCCATCAGCCAGTCTGACTAGAGAATTTACACTTGATAGTCTGCTAGGAAGGTTCCCAGTGAATGTGCCACATTCATGCCATGGGTGCAACCCCTATTACGCCAAAGAAGCGTAACAAGTCATTTTTGAAAATGAAATAAAAATTTGTTAATTATTTGAAAATTGTTTTGTGTGCTTATTAAATCAGTAAGCCATATCTCATCCTGTTTCCATTGGGACAGGCTCAAATCGTTCTGATATCAATGTTTTTGCATGCTCAAGATTCTCTATTTTGAAGAAATACAAATGCATTGTCAATGTATGTTAATATTTTCATTGACCACATAACTTTAAATCTAAGCAATATACAGGGTGTCCCGAAAGTATGGGGCCCCCCCTAGGCAGACATATACCAGTGTCGTCATAGTATGTATCATATATCATTTTAAAGCTCACACAAAGTTACATTGATTCACCAAGTATCATGGTTCAACTCTCAAATGTGAAAAAATTACAGGCATTTGAAAATTTAGTGTTTGGTCAAAATGAAGTTCAATTTTACACCAAATCACTAGTCAATGTGTCCTTCCAGGCCATTGTAACAGCAGCAATTCTTTTTGGGTCGGATGGATATTGAGTTGGAAAAAGAGAATGGTGAGGGTAGAAACTCTAAGGAAACTCTTCTAAAGTGCCTTAACAGGTTTTAAGAGGGTTATAAAATTCCACACCCCTATTTGAAGGGCTTTTAGGGTCATATCTGAAAATAATTGGTGCTGTTAACATGGCCAAGGGGAGACTCATTGACTAGTAATGTGGAGTAAAATTGGAATTTATTTTGACAAAACACTAACTTTTAAAATGACTGTAACTTTTTCCCACTCCAGAGTTAAACCATGATACTTGGCAAATCAATGTAACTTTGGATAAGCTTTAAAATGATATATGAGACATACTATGAGGACACTGGAATATGTCTGCCTAGGGGGGGCCCCATACTTTCGGGACACCCTGTAGTTTCTATATGCATGGATTGTCGCTTGGTGCTATGGTCTCTCATCATGTCGTATAGACATTTTGCTCCCCCCCTCCGTCCCCTCCCCCCCTCCGTCCCATTTTAATTATTTTCGATTATTTTTTATACAACGTATGGAAACGTATTTTGTAAAGTCATTAAGGTCATTAATTTTATGATGATAATGTCACTTACAAATATTTATTGCAGGTTGTGTAGACCGTTGATGCTTGATTTAAAGCAAAAACATTGACTTTTGCACGTTGGTGGCGTTGCGCCTTTTTTAATAGATCTTATACCTAAGAAGAGAATTGGCTAAAAAAAAATTGTAGAATACGCGACATATTTTACCATACCGTGCGCCTATTCGTTTAGCAATTAAATCATAAACCTTTTCTTGAAAAAATAATTTTTGCAGATTTGTTCATTTTTCTACCAGAAATTGCTTGCTCCCCCTCCGTCCCATTTTCACGATCACCGGGTGTGTTGATGGTTGTAGATCTTTAAGTACAGAGCAGGAAGGAAAATATACCCATCCATGACAAAACAAAAAAGGAAGGAACGATTAACAAAAGAATATTGAAGTTAGAAAGATAGTATCTTAAGAAACAAACATAATATGTTTATCATCTACAGGGTGTCAAAAAACAACGGCATCCCCCTCTACAGCTAAGAGTACTTAATGCTACATGGTGTGTCATATCTCATTTTAAAGACAATTTAATTCTGGAGTTACCTGAGAAATTTCAGCTTTATATCATATAATTTTTCAGATTTACAGCTGATTCTTAGTAGTTGGTATGACCATCAGTTGCTGCTCAAACAGCAGCTTATCTGGACAGATATGATTTCAATAAAAATTCACATAAATGTGTAGCATTGCATAATCCTCTTCACACTTTCCTCACATTCTTCAGAAATACATCCTTACTGTATCTTTTTTCAAGAGGCTCTTTGTCCATCAGTTCCTATACCCTGTTTTTCAGAAATGAACCCATATGTTCAATGCAGTTGAAATCTGGGGTAATAATTCTTTCATATTTCACTTTCTGGAGATTTGACTTTTAACCAGTAACAGAGCAGCAAACAAAGTACCGAAGTAGCAAACTTTGAAACAATGTAGCTTTTTTAATATTAAGTTTTATTAAATGAAATTTGATGAGTAACTCCAGAATTAAATTATCTTATGACACGATATGGGACATTAAGCACTTTTTGCTGTAGAGGGGGGTGCCGTTGTTTTTTGACACCCTGTACTTTAAACTCAAAGACGCACGATTTAAGCAGATTGAGCTCACCTAAGTTGAAAGTTACATCTACAAGTAGAGGTCATGATCTTAAACGTGGCCATTATTTGGATGTTTCATGATTTTAGGATAGTTGTGTCCCTTGTAGGTATCTTAAGGCAGAGGCTTTACATCTCGGATTAGCCATCTCTTGACTAACATCATTAACTACCCTGTTTGTGCCAGATGTGCTTGAAACATTGACCCAAAATAAACATTCATGAAACCACAAGCATTACAAAATTCCACTTTTGCAAAATGTTACAATATACAATTTATTATTTTGATCTCTTCGTTCAAATAAAACATTTTCAGAAAGGCCATACAGAATTGACACCCAGACAATTTGAAATTACTTCAATAAGATTATTTTTGGGGCTTGTGGTTATTATTATGTCACCACCAAAAGTGGTGACATATTGTTATGGTCTCAGTTTTTTTGCGACGGCGGTTGGTGGTTGGAGGTTGGCGTCCGGCGGTTGGTGGTTGGAGGTTGGCATCCGGCGTCTGTAACAATTTCTTACAACTTCCTATAACTTAACAAATACTGTTTAGATTGACTTCAATTTTTTTCTAAATCATCTACATGTTCTCAGAAGTTCAAATCTGACTTTAGATATGTCATTTGACCTTCAATGACCTTCTCAAGGTCAAAAAGGTCTTTTTTCAACTTGCTTCACATTGACTAAATTTTTTTTCAAAATCATCTACATGTTCTCAGAAATTCAAATCTGACTTTAGATTTGACATTTGACCTTCAAATCTGACTTTAGATTTGACATTTGACCTTCAATGACCTTCTCAAGGTCAAAAAAGGTCAAAAAGGTCTGTTTTCAACTTGCTTCAAATTGACTAAAAAAAAATTTCAAAATCATCTACGTGTTCTCAGAAATTCAAATCTGACTTTAGATTTGACTTAAGATTTGACATTTGACCTTCTCAAAGTCAAAAAAGGTCAAAAAGGTCTTTTTTCAACTTGCTTCAAATTGACTAAATTTTTTTTTCAAAATCATCTACATGTTCTCAGAAATTCAAATCTGACTTTAGATTTGACTTTAGATTTGACATTTGTCCTTCAATGACCTTCTCAAGGTCAAAAAGGTCTTTTTTCAACTTGCTTCAAATTGACTAATTTTTTTTTCAAAATCATCTACATGTTCTCAGAAATTCAAATCTGACTTTAGATTTGACATTTGACCTTTAATGACCTTCTCAAGGTAAAAAAAAGGTCAAAAAGGTCTGTTTTCAACTTGCTTCAAATTGACCAAATTTTTTTTTCAAAATCATCTACATCTTTTCAGAAGTTCAAATTTGACTTTAGATTTGACCTTTGACCTTCAATGACCTTCTCAAGGTCAAAAAGGTCTTTTTTCAACTTGCTTCAAATTGACTAATTTTTTTTCAAAATCATCTACATGTTCTCAGAAGTTCAAATCTGACTTTAGATTTGACATTTGACCTTCAATGACCTTTTCAAGGTCAAAAAGGTCTTTTTTCAACTTGCTTCAAGTTTACTTAATTTTTTTTTCAAAATCATCTACATGTTCTCAGAAGTTCAAATCTGACTTTACATTTGACCTTCAATGACCTTCTCAATGTCAAAAAAAGTCAAAGAGGTATTTTTTCAACTTGCTTTAAATTGACCAAATTGTTTTAGGTGGTGACATTTTGTCATGTTAATGCCTTGTGATTATGATTTATAATTCTTACATTTTGCACTTTAGCTGAACATACTCATGATTTTCTCCTTATATAACTTATTTTATGTTTCAAATTGAATCCATAGCATAATACACCACCATTCTCCAATACACTGTTGTCTAGGATTATATCAGATAATCTCTTTATCCAACTATACTTACACATATAGTACACATTGGCATTGAATATATGAGAATGGAATTAAAAGATTTGTGATGTTATGAAAGAGACTCCTTGGTCACATATATTATTTTGACCTGTTTGGCTAGTGTCACTAGTACACATTTATAAAACAGACTTGGTTGACTTCGAGTTGTGATATTTTCAATTGATATCTCATGTTATCGATGAATTAATTCCATTTGATCTGTATACAATGACGCAATAAACATTGGTGAAGGACCTGCATATGGATTTATATTTAATAAATGGACACACTTTAATTGGCAGAGTCGTCATTAAGGAATGTTCCTAAATGATACACTGGGACTTCGATATCTGATTATAGAATTTTTGGCTAGCACTAACTTCATGGTAGTTTTTACGACGGAAAAAAATCCAAAGGAGGATACACGTTTTGATGCATAAACACTGATGGTCAGTGCATTTTTGGATAAAGTGACATAAAATACTTCAACGACATACGTGATCATCATAGGAGACAACAATGGGGTGTGGTGGCAGCAAAAACACAGATGTGAGACCCTTTACCCCTGTACAAAATCAGCAACCAGTTACAAAACCTAGAACACTGACAAAAAGATCTGAAACCCCAATCCAAATTCCTGGTACACCAATACCTGAAAATTCAACCTCTACCCAGGAGCCAAGGAGGCCAACTTCAAAACCTGAAACTCCAAAGACTAGGACACCAACCCCGAAACTTGAAACCCCGAAGCCTAGAACACCAACCCCAACTTCTGAAGCCCCAAAGCCCAGAACACCAACTCCAACTTCTAAACCCCCAAAGCCCAGAACACCTACACCAATATCTGAAACCCCAAAGTCTAGAACGCCAACCCCAACATATGAAACCCCAAAGCTTAGAACACCAACCCCAACATCTGAAACTCCAAAGCCCAGAGTACCAACCCCAACATATGAAACCCCAAAGCCCAGAACACCAACCCCAACATCTGAAATCCTAAAGCCTGGAACATCAACCCCAACATCTGAAACTCCAAAGCCCAGAACACCAACCCCAACATCTGAAACCCCAAAGCCCAGAACACCAACCCCAACATCTGAAATCCTAAAGCCTAGAACATCAACCCCAACATCTGAAATTCCAAAGCCCAGAACACAAACCCCAACATCTGAAACCCCTAAGCCCAGAACACCAACCCCAACATCTGAAACCCCAAAGCCTAGAACACCAACCCCAACATCCGAAACACCAAAGCCCAGAACACCAACCCCAATATCTGACACCCCACAGCCCAGAACACCAACATCAATATCTGAAACCCCAAAGTCTAGAACGCCAACCCCAACATCTGAAGCCCCAAAACCCAGAATAAGTAACCCAACATCTGAAACCACAAAGTCTAGAACGCCAACCCCAACATCTGAAACCCCAAAGCCCAGAACACCAACAGAAATATCTGAAATCTCAAAGTCTAGAACACCAACCCCAACATCTGAAACCCCAAAGCCCAGAACACCAACAGTAATATCTGAAACCTCAAAGTCTAGAACACCAACGCCAATATCTGAAACCCCAAACCCCAGAACACCGACACCAACATCTGAATTCCAAAAGCCCAGAACACCGACCCCCCAACCCCAGAATCCAATAACAAGGGCCCAGACTCCGAAAATCAGGACACTAACACCAATTGAGCGAACTCCAACTCCATCATCTAGAATTCCGACACCATTATCTCAATGTCATACTCCAGTGATTTCAAAATCATCCTCTCCACAACCTACAACTGGAGACCTATGCCAGCAAGTGATAGACGACACTAATGACAATGCTAGCATCTCATTAAGCCAAGCTGGACTAAATGGACACATTTCACCCGAATTATACAAGGCTGATATTAAAGAGATAAAAACACAAGAGGAACGCACCACTGATAATGATGATTATCCACCTGACTTTGACATTCAAAATGTACAAGAAATTGATGAAACATATACTGCAGTAAATGATGATTCCAATGCTGTGATTATCCAAGATATAAATGACAATGTTAATTTTGAAAAAAGTGCAAATGTAGGGAAAGGTGGACCCACTCCGGATCAGAAGGCTGAAATAGCTGAAAATGACGTAGAAGAAAATTTACCTGATATAAATGATGCTTCAGAAAATAAAAAGGACAGTGACAAAATAAGTGAAAATGATAAAACAAAACTTACGAGTGGAGAAGAAGAAATAAAACATGACAGTAAAGTACTTGTTGCAACATGTGATTCCCACATCGATGAAAAGAATGAATTAGTTACGGATAAATTAAAGCCTAAACAAAGTGATGTAAACAACAAAATAGAAATAAATGAAGAAAATCTTGAAGGGAATGAGATAAACGACATAAACATGGAAGAAGGGGGCGAAGCAAACAAAGTTGAAGAAAATGAAAAAATCAATGATGTAAGTGAAAAAGAAAATGTCAAGAGCAGTGAATTAGCAAATCTTAAAGCTGTTGAAAGTGATAAATGTGTAACACTTGAGGAGGAAAGAAATAATGAAAAACAAACGGAAAACGAGGTACCTATTGATGGTCAAATTTCTGATCAAAATATAAAATTAAATGAAGAAGAAATGTCTGAAGAAAATAAAGGGAACAATAAACAGACAAATGATGAAGAGGTTACACTTGTCAATGAAGAAAATAGTGAAGAAAATAGAATTATGACTGAATCAAATGAAGAGCAGGCAGATAAACTCATTGAAGAAAAAACTGAAGCAACTGAAGATTTTGATAAAAATGAAAACATTAATTCAAATGGAAATGAAATCATTGAACCAAATAATGAAGCCAATGCTATAGAAAATGAGGAAAACACCAGTGGAGCAAATGAAGATAACATTAATAATACAGTTAATTCAGAATCAAAAGAAGAAGAACCAAAGGGTGTAAATGAAGAAAATACTGTGGAGGAAAACAAAGTTGAAAATCCTGAGGAAAAACACGATGAAATTGTGGCAGAAAGTGAAGAAAAAAATGAAGAAAATATTGAAATAATTCCAAACAATACAGATACAAATGAAGAAGAAACTAAACCTTCCTCGACTATACAGCAAATAGACTCAGTTGAAGAACAATCAAACACAAGTCCAGAAGATAATAGAACACAAGAAGTCAATGCTGAAACAAATGGAGAAAACAAAATTGATACTGAAGAAAATAATGGCGTTGTAACAAATGACGAACGTATTGTAGTTGAGGCAGATATAAAAAGGACTGAAGAAAATGATAATGATCAATCAGACTCAGAAAACACTAAAAATAACAGTAAAGCAAATGAAAAAGAAGAGACTTGAGAAAATTAGAAAAATGTACCAAAACAAGAAATCGTGGAGGGAAAAGACACCAGAAAATGAATGCTGACGACAATAATGCAATAGAATCGTTACATTTATTTTATATTAATGATATACATCTGGAAGGTATACTAGACTTAGTTTACAGCGTTGTCCAACGTATTTTTTAACGTTTTTATGTCTAGGGCTATAAAATAGTCTTGCTGTTAGGTTGTTAGACAAATCGCTTGAAATGTTGTATGATTTTGCCTCCAGTAGTAACAAAAATTGGACAGATACAATGAGCTCAACTGTACTATTAAAATAAATCAAATTTGGAAAGCTTAGTTCTATTTAGCAGAAATGCTCATGTTTTAGGTTATTTTAAGAGGAAAATTCATTTGAGGTTTACCTTACTCTCTCTTATAAGCACAATGAGGTACTATATTTTTATCGTCTCTACAAATGTTCGACTCTTCATAGTTATAATTTCTTGCAAATGTATTATAGTAAAGGAGAATATGAAATAATAAACTGATATAACGTTACTACGATGAAAAAGTGAACTTTGTTTTTTCACCTACTGTCAGCATTCTAGGCAACACATCTTATGAAAATGTACATATTACTTTTTATATAAAGGCTGATGTTCCTGATTGTGATTAGATCTGATCAAAACAGATTTAATTGTGATTATATTATAAATGTAAATTGGGTTACTTTAATACTTTGTCTAGGATGAAGAAAAGACTAGAACCAAAGGAATCCCATGTATAGTAAACTGCAATAAATTGTTACTGTGTATGGTACAGATGGAGATTATTTTCCCATAGCGAAACTCATGTTAACCATTATTTATAAGCCTGATTTACATTAGACTTCTAACGCCACTCGTCCTTTTCAGAGATCCAATTTGATTTATTTAATTCATAACATTATAAGTTATTGAATGATTTGAAGGGCAATACAGGATGTATTCTGCTCGAGAAATTCTGTATTGGAACCTGACGAAGTCGAGTGCCAATGCAGAATATCGAGACAGAATATATCCTGTATTGCACTTCAAATCATTCAATAACGTTTTTATCGTGTGATCCTCTGTATTGCTACTGAGATTGTCCCCTCCGTACCAATATTTTCTGTATTGCGACGGAGATGATCAACGGGGACAATCTCAGTAGCAATACAGGTTGGTACAGCACAAGAACTGACCAATCAGAGGGCTTCATTTTACAGATCATACGATAATTCATGATACAATTTTACAAACATTTCATGAACAGAACATCCTTAGGGGTGTATTTATATCTCGAATCATTAGGTTTTTACCATTCATGTTACAATCTATTTGTGCGATAATTGAACAAGATTAAAAAAAAGAAAATCAGTTACAATCTATTTGTGCGATAATTAGAACAAGATTCTATTTTTAGAAAGTTGTCCGACGCGTTGAAAAATGTTTTGAGGTAGGGTCCTTATCATATGTATTGTTTTTCACTTGTCTAAAATCATTCTCCACACCATACCTGGTTCTTTGACTTTAGGCTTGTATAAGACATGAACATCATCTTTTCTAATGAGACTATAGGGCATTTTAGATAAAATGTACAGTCAGAATGAGAAATAAGGCATAAATAGCAGAGTAAGTGCCGCAGCTACCATTGTTGTAACCATAATGCTTGAATGATTTCATGATCTCCATAATATCTCCAGAGCCTATATGGTGCACTTCTTCCTCTTCGTTGACAGAACAGACAGACGGTCTTACTTGGGTAGCCATGTAGCACTTCTCATTTTCATTGTGAACCATAGCCTCTGTCTCGTGATGCATTTCCCCATTTCCGTGATGCGTTTCCTCAGCCGTTTCTTTAGTCCCATGATGCATTTCATCAGTTCCGTGATGCATAGCAGCAGTCGCATGATGCATTTCTTCAGTCCCATGATGCATTTCATCAGTCCCATGATGCATTTCTTCATCTCCATGATGCATTTCTTCATTCCCATTTTGCGTGTCGCCAATACCATGATTCATATCACTCGTAGCCATTGTATTGGAACTCATAACATTCACGCTTGAATTCCATATGTTACCTTTCATACATCCGATCATGTAAGGGAATGACGTCAGGACGATGTACTTATAAAACCCATGTGACATTATGCCATGGCAATTATCCAAATGATCATGCTGGATATGACCACCATCATCACTCAGAGCATTGCGCATTATGGGATAGCCATCTATAGCCATGCCGATCACTTGTTCAACCTCACCATCCTTGAAGAGACATTTAGGGCTGGTGTGGTAGTGGTAGCCAAGTGTGGGAGTATGGTGCCCACCACATGAATCAAGCATCAATCTATTGTTGCCACCCATTACCTCACATCCCTTCTCTGTGAATGGACTTAGAATGGGGACTCCATTTACTGCTACCCCTATCACTGCATCCATACTGCAGCCTCCAATTAGACATTCACCGTGGTTACTCATACCTGGGTGCAAGGGGATATCCACAACAAATCCTTGTGCACCAAAGCCCCTTGCTTCCTCCACCTGATTTGTGTGGATGGATAAGAAGCCAGATTGCATGGATGCTTTGACGTCGTGACAAGAATATAGATGGTGCACCTGTGCAACCCAGGATTCCCACTCAAGCTGTGACATCGCATTCGTCTGCTGCATCAAGAAAACCAGAATGAAGAATCTCAGAGCCATCTAAAAAAACGACAAATGAAAAAAGCGATAAAAAGATGTTATTTCAAAATGGACTGCATGGACTGGTCTAAATTTAACCAAATAACTCCAAAATGTAAAACTTTTTTTGAAGAATTGGGGCTTCTAGTCAATGATTCATGCCCATGTCCTAGAATTTCTGATCCAATTGTGCCACGCCCACTTTCTTCTATTTTCAGGGGATGGGGCATTCCAAAGGCATATCAAAATACAAAATAGTATCCATAGTATTATCATCGTTTAATTATATATTAAAATGTCACACATATCTTAGAAATCGTCGCGTGAGAACCAGTGTTTCCTATGTGGACTTTTTGTGGTTTTGAGAAAATGGCGTTTAAAGTTCAACCATCTGTATCATCTGAACCATTTATGATACAAACCTGATTTTTTCTATAACATTGATACGGTAAAATGACAGCCATTCCGAATTAACGATAGTCTCAAGCAATGGTCCTGTGCCCACAACACAACAGGCAACAGCGTATAAAATAGGGTTGATAAGTTTGAACGACTGCAAGTAACTATTAAGATGCATTAATTTTTATTTGTCCAAATAACATCCCAATCCATTAAATGATTTGAAAATCAATTTCAGATATTAATTTGTTATTTTAAATCTGTATACAACACACCTAAACCATCGCCAACGTACATTGACAAAATATACCACCTACATATAACTACGTAGGCCTAAACATATATCTAGAGTTTAAACGCAAACTCGTTCATTTTGGACCTTATTACGTATTACAATATTCAAAGAGGTTGGCCACATGACTGTACGTAGACTCTCTTTACGGAAGTCTTCTTACTTAGGTCAACGTACAGATAACCTGTCATCGTAAATAAAGTAATGCATGATTCTTTGCTAAATCTTCACCTGTCCTAAAATATGTAGTTGATTGAAAAACATATTTTCATTAAAATAATCCACAATGTTTGACGTCAGGGAAAGTATTTATCAAACAGAATGTGAAAATACATGTTCTATTCGGTCAGTTATATCTGGGTAGAGCAGGTGCTCGGGAATATCATGTTATCATAATTGTAATAAATAAATCATTTTATATATTCAATTAATTAGAACGTTAAAACTCTTTCCAAGAGAATGCTGCTTTTATTACATCGTAATTAGATATATTTCCCTCTGAATATTGCTTTTGAAACCCACATAGTAGTTTTCGCTTTTAATTAGCTACTTTTGTCAATGTACAGAAAACTGTGCGATGGTCGATTTTGAAGAGGTACTTTTACACGATAGTAGATATATCAATAAATTATTTTATTAAATGATCCAGATCGTATGAAAATGATAATACAATACAGTAATTCAATAAAATTCAAAGAAAAATGATTTTTTACCTGATGTGTTGACTTTAAATACTTCATAAACGTTCTGGCATGTGTCCACTCCAAATAGATATGAAGACTGTCTTGTAGCACCAAACCATGACTAAGTAGGGAAATTTGAATGCCCTCACCTGGCCAAATAATGAGTAATCTACAATTTTATATATGGGTGTCCCATTTGATATGATCAATAGAGAGCTTTAAACCGAGTCTCTTTCGAAATGCATCAAATCTCTTTTTTAAAACATGCTTCAAGCCTGCATGAAGTCTTTTCTTTAACTTGCATTAAGTCCCTTTGACATTTACCAAGTCTGATTGACAAGAAATATGTCAGTTTTTAATCAACTTATCTAATCCTTGTAGATTAAATAAGGTTTTCGATAAAAGAAATAATTTCAAAATCAACATTGAACATTTTATATCAGCATTAAATAAGAATTAAATAGTGAGTGTGAATGAAAAAGAACTTCTATAATTTTTGTTTGTTTTATATCACCAAATACAGCTTTAAAAATCAGGAGAAATATCTGATAATACTAGTATGTATGTCTGTATGTTGGGGCCAATCATAAATATATTTCTGTTTTTACTTGCTTGCTCTTGTGATTTCTGCTGACATAAAGCATGAAATGTTTTTTTATTGTTTTACCCTAAACGCCCAATGTATCAAAAGACGCATCCTAATTATGAAGATGAGCTTCTAATTGGGTGAAAATAATATAACATAATTATATGCAATTATAAATATGTTATGAAAGCTACATTATTAAAAACGTAAGCATGTTCAGAAGTGTGTTTTTCTTACAAATTGTTCATTGTGGGGATGTCATAATATTCTTATCTTTAATAGTCTTATTCTTCCTGATCCTATAGAATAATCTTTTAAAAACAAACGAAATTGCAAAAGTATTTACAAATATATCTTGGAAAAGTATTGCTCATATTTAATACAATAAGATAATTGAATGTGATCAATATAATCTGATCATAGTGCGAGTAAACAATATTCACTGGGGGGTATCGTGATGCAACAACACCGTGTTGTTGCATCAAGATGGCCAGACTTCCGGTGATAGATTTTCGTACGATGTTTTGTTTTTCCAATTTACACCCATTTCTAGGACGAGTTGCTCAATAATCATACACATGCAGTTAGCGCATGATCTATATTTTAAAAAACTGTCATTGGTATACATGTAGCATCATCAAGAAGCGATAAATTCGTGGTTTTAATTCCTCACTATTGATGCAACAACACCACTCTGTTTCTTATCGATGATGCAACAACACCAATGTGCTGATGCAAAAACGCCAATATAATGTATCATTGAACAACAAGAGAAACTGTTTTATGTTCTGTTTACAGGTGTAGGTCGGGACATGAATAAAACGCGTGAGTCAGTGGTCCATGAACGAAACGTATTTTGTTTGGTTTCTTTGTCTATATCAAAGTTAAAAGGATATACAAGGCAAACTAAATAAAGTACAGAATCCCCGGGAGGCAATCTCATTGATATTGTATCTGAAAAATAAAGATTATACATTTTCTAAATTAAATGCCCTTGATTTATCGTATGGAAATTGCTTACAAATAACTAATATAATTTTGGAAAGACAACAGATATCAGTCATTTTGTGTTATTAGTACCTCAATTGAAATGCTCAATTCTGATTGGTTGATTAGCGGTTAAAATTATGTACTGTTGACCACTACTAGGTACTGTTGCCCGCTACTTCTGAAAAAAAGTTTCATGACGTCACAAAAAAACATGGAAGACGGACATTTTGTAAACGTTAGTGAAAATGACTTTACTAGGCGACAAGTATAGCAAAAATACAAATAGAAACTTAAAATTAACATTAATTCACTAACGAGTACGCCGTGATGTGCCAAATACAGAGTTAAGCTACTTGCACTGTCTCCAGATTTTCTAAAAAAATATTGCTAACGTGGTTCGGAGAAAAGGTTGTGAAATGAAGCCATGCCGATTAATGATTGTCGTCTATATGTGTATTATTAGTTTACTCAGACTAACAAAACAATTGTAGACCTCTCCATTCGATCAACCGTCAAAATCATATACCTCGACTGTAAACCTCGACCTTCGGTCTCTGTCAACAGTAGTTTTTCGTATACAGTCTCGGTATACAATTTTGCCGGTTGACCTCTGGGGAGGTCAACAATTAAAAGTGTCCTCGACCTCTGGTCTTGATCAACAGTACTTTCAAGGTTTACAGTATCGGTATACAATTTTGCCAGTTGACCTTAAGAGAGGTCTACAATTGTATAATTCATATCCTTCAAATTATGATATTCTTCGGACTAACAAACAATTGTCAACCTCTCTATTCGGTCAACTGGCCAAAGTGTATACCTCAACAGTAAACCCTGAGAGTACTGTTGACCTCGACCTCCGAACTTTCAAGGATTACAGTATTGGTATACAGTTTTGCCAGTTGACCTCAATTGTATATTGTATATCCTTTGTTATCCCACCCAAAGTATGATGTCATGTATCAAGTTGAAGAGTTGTATACGCTGCTCAGGAGTTTACGCTATCCAGGAGTTGTACATCGTTCTCAAGAGTTGTGTACGAAGAGTGTTGGTTTAATGATATTGCAGTTATACCGCAATGCTATTATATAAAGGTTATTTACTGAGAGGGATTCAATATTGGTTTTATTCCGAGAGACAATATGATATTTCCCGAGGGTCCGGGATATCTGGGATAACTGTACCCCTATCAATTTACCTTTTTGGGCCCTTAATCTTATCACTTTTGTTTACCTTTTTACTCAGTCGGAGAGAAGGAATCCAAAGAGAGCAATAATTGTACACGTGCGTCGTGCAAGATTTCCATTAAACGTGTAACTAAACGGCCTCTCTAATAAAGTCAATTAGACGTTTTTACACGTTGGCTCTCCAAATTGGAGGAGATAAAGAATCATATCATATTATATCATAGATGAAGCAATCATCCCATCAACATAAGCTCACGAATGTCACAGTTAAACTGTTTTAGTTATAATTTGATAAACAGTGGTAACGTACATCTACTAGTTCATCACTGTTCCACAGATGGATGACAGATAATTTCCAATAGCTCATCATGTTTACCGAGAACGAAAGATGTTTGTCCACCATTTTGAATGATACTAACTGGAGTCAGGGTCATCAAGCTATGGAACAGTGGTTTATGAAAATAGATTGGGTTACTAAAGCTTGCCATGTTAAAGGCGATTGAACTATGTTACCCCCCTATCACACCAAACTAGTTCTTACCCGTTCTTGCCAGTCCTACGAAAATGCCGTAAAACGGGCTCAATCTGGCTGTGGTCGGGAAATATGTCTGAAATAATTAGCTTCTTCGTTCTTAAACAGTCTTCAATACGTCCATCTCGTTCGCAGTTCGTTCAGGTCGCACCACGTCGGAGTGCAACGTCGTAGAACGCGTCCCTTAGTCTAGAAGGTCAACATGACCTGACTACAGAACGGTATGGTCGTCATCGAATTTTGAATCGATTCAAAATTCTAAAATCACATTCCCGTCTGAGAACGTTCATAAAGTTCGTAAATAGACCTTAGAAAGTTGCAGCTACGTTCATTCCGTTCGCACACAGTTTAAAACCAGTTTTGAAGAACGCAGTGGCAACTTGTTTGGTGTGATAGCTATATTTTTGCTAACTCGTTCATAAGCAGTGTTAAATACGTTCTTAATCAGTTTGCAATTAGTTCTACCTCGTTCTCAACACGTCCGCAGACAGTTCAACTCGTTGTTAAAACGTCCATAGTAGGATTGAAGTACGATGATTCCGTTCGTAGTACGTCCAGCTCGTCGTTAGGACGTTGTCACTCGTTCTAATTGTAGAACGTGACGACCACGAGAACATTTTGAGCATTGTCTAAGTTCTAGAGGACATCCCCGTTCGAGTACGTTCGATGAAGTTTGTAAATAGATCCCAAACGGTTCTTAGTAGGTCCAGTCCGTTCGTATACAGTTGAAGCCCGTTTTCGAGAACGCAGTGAGAACTAGTTTGGTGTGATAGTAGGGTTATAGAACAACGCCCAGTACATTATAATATTTAAAACTATAAATTTTGGGAAATACATATAAAGGATCTTCGCCCGCAGGACGTGTATTTTGAATGCCTTGAGAAGAACGCAAATATGGGTAATGGGTAACGGTGTTGCAATAGTAGCATTTAAAAATCTGTTCCTCTCGAGATTTATGGTCTTCTGAAATTATACTATTAATTGGTGTTGCTGCATCATTGCTCAAATCTAGAGGGGTGTTGTTGCATCTTCGGTTTGGTGTTGTTGCATCAATAGTGAGGAACTAAAACCGTGAACTTATTGCTTCTTGGTGATGGTACATGTATACTAATGACAGTTTCTTTAAATATAGATCGTGCGCTAACTGCATGTGTATGGTTATTGAGGAACTCGTCCTAGAAATGGGTTTAATTGGGGAAACAAAATATCGTACGAAAATCTATCACCGGAAGTCTGGCCATCTTGATGCAACAACACGGTGTTGTTGCATCACGATACTCCCCAGAGTGCTTCGAATTTTTCACCCAGAATGATGCCTCCTACATGTAGTTCCGTTTTCCTTGATCTTGAACCAGTTGGTATATCTTCCCCATTGGTCTCTCCCAATGCCTCGACTTTTAACAGATATATCACTCAAGCCAAGAAAGCTAGCCAGGAAACTCTTTCATAATAGCCAAATTTCTTTCTACTATAGAAACTATTTTAGTTATTATTTATACATGGCAGTTGGTTATTGTAGTTGAACATATTTGGCTATAAGTGAAGGTCATGCCTTTGGTCACAACTAAAGAGTATCAACCTACCTAAAAAAAAATAGTTGCATTTTTATAGCAAATCAATTTTTACTGATTAAAATTGCATTTTCCACTGAATGCCTATACAAGGGCCGATCAAATCGTTTCTTACAGTTGGCTCTAGATTTTATGATAAGATGAGCTGGATGCTCAAACTTACATGAGACAGGGTAGTTTAATAATTCTAAAGTAGTTTTTATGTTCATATTCATTCTCCTTCAAATTGTTCAACCCCAGTTGCATTGCACTTCCTATATCTGTCCACCCAATCCAAAAATAGGTTTAAGGCCTTCGTATGAGAGGTTGTAAACTATGTCAGTAAATTTACAGAACCACAATTCAGCAGATTTTTTATATATAACGCCACTTCACCTAACTTAATCATTGAAAATATGCATGGACTCTGTGACTCTACCAGTAAGCCAATTTATATGAAACTCATACAGTTTCAAGTAAACTTATTATCCTGTCTCATGTTTGAGCACTCAACTCCTCTTATAAAATCTAGAGCCTACAGTAAGAAACTATTTGATCGGCCCTTGTATAAATCAAAATGCACATCTCCGTCACATCACGCTTTATCAGTGAATTTGCAACCCCAGCATCATCCTGGTAATTTATTCTCAGATGTAATCAAATCTTCTTACTTTATTTACCCCGAGATGAACAAAATATCAATTTTTATATATGTTTATAACAGTTTATCATATATTTTTCATTTATTGTTCACAATCAATTTTAATAATAACTATACATCTCATAAACAATTTTCAAAATAATTTCAACAACTTTAATCTGGAATGAAACAATCAGTCAACAATTCATTTATTTTATAAATAAAAGTAAGTTGGTCAATTGACCTAACTATTAACTAAAACCAGATGAATACATATAGCTATCACTAAAACCAACAACATGGGACAACTCTCAAAAAGGTAATCAATACAAAACAAGTAACAAGGCATTAACATGACAAAATGTCACCACCTAGTTGCACACAATATTATTAGTTCAATCTTAAGTCAGGTTTGAACTTCTGAGAACTTGTAGATGATTTTGAAAAAGAAAATTGGTCAATTTGAAATCAAGCAAAGAGAAAATACCCTTTTCACCTTTTTGTGACCTTGATAAGGTCATTGAAGGTTGAATCTTAAATCTAAAGTCAGATTTGAACTTCTGAAAACTTGTAGATGATCTTGAAAAAAAATTGAAGTCAGTCTAAACAGTATTTGTTAAGTAATTGGAAGTTGTAAGAATTTGTTATAGACACCAACCAGTAATTGCCAACCACCGATCACCAACCGCCAATCACCAACGACATCAAAATTCGGAGTATACAAAATAACTCATAATTTGCAGTCAACAGACTGTTAAAACCCATATTTATGTAAATATTACAGTTTGAAATAAATTCTTCATATAGTTTTATGCCTCAGTTACATTTGATCTACGGCACCATACGGCGGCTGTAGCTTCCCAAATTTGAGAGCAGCATAAAATAAGCAGAATGATGAAGATTTTCAATATCAATTTTGTGATGATACAGCCACCATAGACCAAATGTGACTGACGCTTTAGCAGTCTGGCTGCAAAAATATTTACAAAAATATATAACATTAAAACATTTCATTTTCAGTATAACTAATATTACTAATATGATCATGTCTTTGAAAAAAGATTTCTATTTGAATAACAATCCTTCCTAACACTTTGTCTAAGAGAACAATATAACAATGGTTAAAACAAATTATTTGTTGCTCACATTTTATACACAAACAAACATAACAAATATACTATATGACTGGGTATATACAACTAAGAAATATGAAAAATATTCAATTCTTGGTTAAATATATATGTGTAACTACTAATCATGTTTGAACTTAAACATTTATGTATCAGTTAACAAACATTTAAGTAGACTGTATGGAAGTACAATATGTGTAAACTATATGTACAATTACATTTACATGTAAGTATAAGTCACTTCTGACACCTTCCAAACATGTGTCCATGTCAATTACTGCATATATGCATGTCAATTACTGCACATATGCATGTGTGCATGTCAATTACTGCACATATGCATGTGTGCATGTCAATTACTGCACATATGCATGGGTCCATTTCATTTACTGCACATAAGCATGTGTCCATGTCAATAACTGCTAATATGCATGTGTAAAACTACATTTAACATTTATGTATCATATAGATGAAGCAAAATGGCATGGGCAATGCATTAACTACACAGAAATTATTTAAATCACTGATGACACATGAAGTACAGGGTTATTTAGAGACCAAACATTACAAGTAAAGGGAGAAGCGAATCTTTTAACCTCTACCAAAACTAACAACTGCTCTGCAGGTGTTAGTTCAAAATGAGTTGTCTATAGAACAGCACATATCATTTATTTTAAATCACTAAAAACCTATATAGGAGATCGAGAGTAACATGATGGAATGTTAAAAAAAGATGGACTGGAAATATACATTATTAATACATGCTAAAATGTACAGCATAGGAGTTCAAGGAAAAACAGTGAGAACAAGTCAGTTGCGTTCAGGTTAACATTAAGGATGAAAGGGGTCAATGTGAATTTAAAAATTAATCATGCTTCATCTTCATAACACAGAATAATCATCTACATGCATAATTGTAGAGGTCAGTCATGTAAATATTTACAAACAAATTCATATATGATTGATCAAATATATAAACATTACATGATGTATACATGGTGTCAAGGGCATAATCCTCCCCTTAGACTACCTCATATCACAGCCAACCATTCATTCAAAAGACATTGAATATTATGCTAATTTTGATGTTAATTGAAGAAGTCTTTACAGGTACTCTTGACACTCTGTAGAATAACACTATACATAATTCAAAAGTTGTCACATTAATCTCAGCTATGTAAAAATTGTGTTCAATAAATGCAGCAGTAAGTTGTTTAAATTGAGCAATAATTTTTAATAAAAATTTGAGGTTTTTTGGTCACCCAGTCAGCCTGTACATTTCTGCATTATTCATTATAACCTAATGTTCTTTTGTAATAAACATGTAAAACTGGTTTGATAATAATAATAACAAAATATGCCCTATACACATTAGTTATTTTTGAAGGACATTTTAGATGTTCATGACATTTAAATGTGAATTTCTCATTGAAACCAATATATGTAGTAAAATAATGAAGTGTAAAGTGATCTAAAACTCGCATTTCAAGAGACAACATTCATAAATATCTCAAACATTTCAAACATCAAACCTACAGTCAAATGAGAATATTCAACACTATAAGCACAGGGCCTTTATGTGTTGAATCATAAAAATTTCACTTCTAGTTCAAACTGAAATATGCACCAATTGTCATTTTATTTCCCCTACTGCTAAAATTAACAGCCTTTAATTGGTTAATTGGTTATCTGCTAATGTTGCATCCCATTTATCACTTTAATTCAACAGTCTCCTCCTGCTGTAATGCTCCTGTACACATGATCCCTCCTGTACACATGATCAATCCCATATACATGGTCACTCCAGTTCCCATGATCACTCCTGTACACATGATCACTCCTGTACACATGATCACTCCTGTTCCCATGATCACTCCTGTACACATGATCACTCCTGTTCCCATGATCACTCCTGTACACATGATCACTCCTGTACACATGATCACTCCTGTACACACGATCAATCCTGTACACATGATCACTCCTGTACACATGAACACTCCAGTTCCCATGATCACTCCTGTACACATAATCACTCCTGTAAACATGATCACTCCTGTACACATGATCACTCCTGTTCCCATGATCACTCCTGTACACATGATCACTCCTGTTCCCATGATCACTCCTGTACACATGATCACTCCTGTACACATGATCACTCCTGTACACACGATCACTCCTGTACACATGATCACTCCTGTACACATGATCACTCCTGTTCACACGATCACTCCTGTTCACATGATCCCTCCTGTACACATGATCACTCCTGTTCCCATGATCACTCCTGTACACATGATCACTCCTGTTCCCATGATCACTCCTGTTCCCATGATCACTCCAGTTCCCATGATCACTCCTGTACACATGATCACTCCTGTTCCCATGATCACTCCTGTACACATGATCACTCCTGTTCCCATGATCACTCCTGTACACATGATCACTCCTGTACACATGATCACTCCTGTACACATGATCACTCCTGTACACATGACGACTCCTGTTCACATGAACACTCTTGTACACATGATCACTCCTGTTCCCATGATCACTCCTGTACACATGATCAATCCCATATACATGATCACTCCAGTTCCCATGATCACTCCTGTACACATGATCACTCCTGTACACATGATCACTCCTGTTCCCATGATCACTCCTGTTCACATGATCACTCCTGTTCCCATGATCACTCCTGTACACATGATCACTCCTGTACACATGATCACTCCTGTACACATGCAGTTTTATTTCTGTTCAAACACGGGTAGGAACAGATATTATGTCACTTTATATGTGTCTTTGTTCAAAAATTGTCTAAAAATGCCACATTTTTTGTCACTTCCTGTTTTGTCATTTCCTGTTAAGTACCACTGCACCTTAATGCATACCATGTTTGGCCTCATTGTGCTTGTGTACCATATACAGATTCATTCTGCTTGTGTACCATTAATGGCATTGTTGTGGGCTTGTGGGACTCAATGAGCTGAATGTTTACAATATTATGAACTAATTGTGTTTGATATGCACCATCTATATATTCATTGTATTTGATATGTACCATCTATAGATTCATTGTGCTTGATGTGTACCATCTATAGATTCATTGTGCTTGATGTGTACCGTATATGGACTCACTATGTTGCCGCTTATATTTAGCTAAAGTTGAGGCCAATTCTCCCATCATTCCTGAAAATAAGAAAATTCCAAAATGCTAGATATGGAGAGAAGTAATTGTGATGAAATTGGGTATTATTCTCAACTATAATTAGCTACAATGTAGGTGTGAGTAGAAATAAGCTTGATTTATAACATTAAATACTCAAAATTCAGTCAAAGTGATGTCATATTTGAAATCTACATCATGCAAAGTTATATCTAATATGGTTTCAAAAATTGTTGATCAACTTTCTTGCCTGCAGTCAGGATTTACAAAGGGGGGGGAGCTTTTGACAGGGGGGGGGAGTTTTTACACTTTTTGTTGCGTTGGGGGCGACTGCCCCCCCCCCCCCTTCCCAGATTTTTTTAGATTTGAAACTGAGCCTAGAATTGAAAGCTCTAGAGCTAATTAAAGCCAAAGTGTAATAATGACAGAAATGATACGACGTAAGTATCCAGTCTACATCAAGCATACAGGATCTCTTTTCCCATATTATATTAAATTCTAAACCATGTATATAGTTTCTCAGGAACCCCTTCAGTATGTAAATACTTTGAAGAATAAGTGCATAATGTATATTTTTTAGTCAAAGTCAAGTTAAGTTTTCTAAAAACACAATTTTTTATTGGGAATGTTGTGCTGAGATGTTTAGAATGCACCAGAGAGGGTCTAAATTTTAAAAATTTCTTGGGGCATGCCCCCCGATTCCCGTGCGGCGTGCTTCACGCACTACCTATCGAATAGTCGACCTCCCCTTGGTAAATCCTTCTGATGCCCCTGCACATAATATGAAAATTGATCCACTGGAACTGATGAATATTCAAATTTAAGGGAACTTTCTTATATACCTGCCATGTTATCTGACCCGAATTAGCCACCTGATGGTGAAACTGGTAACTACCTACTAGCATCTGGGTTATTCTTTAAACATGTTCTGTATAAACTGTTTATTCATATAGGTTAGATTGTACCCTTCAGTATTGGAGGGAATATAGAGACAAACAACCATGATATTTGTTTGAAAGCCAGTTTTTACTTTTCTGGAGAAAATGTAAAATTGTCAGTTAACAGCAAAGCATAAGGTGGATATACTGTACGCCCGGTATTATTCGCGAGCTTTAATTTCGCGAATTTTGCGAAAACACGGTTTCGCGGCTATTAAATTTCGCGAATTTCACAAGTTTGAAATTCATTATTCTCGGAATTCTCAAGCTAAATTACTAGTAGATGTACAGTAATTGCACTTACCTGATGTCATAGTTGGATCAGATTTACAATAACTGGGATCTTTAACATCGGCAAGCTGCATATCAACTTCTATTATCGCATCGTTAATTTCGGTCTTATTTTAAAACGAAAAAGCAGTTTGAATTCGTATTTTGTATTACTAGTAGTTATTCGAATTTTGTACTCACAACATCAAGAATCGTGAGAGTATCAATGTTGCATTCTGGGAGCCATTCTGGAGTTGCACAGTACTATCGCCCAATAACACTAGACGAAACGTTTACACAAAACGAAATGCATCAGAGCCCCGGGTAATAACAAATTCCTGGGGATTTAATTGGCAATTTCGCGATGATAATTTTTCGCGATTTTAACACCATCGCGAAAAGCGCGAAAGTTAATCGCACGCGAATAATACCGAGCGTACAGTATTTTAATTCTCCTTATTCTATTTTCACATATATTTTCTTATATTGATGTTGAAGTCCAATGTGAGGATGCGTGCAAAGCTATTAATTAGGCTGCCCTCCACTTAATTATCTTTGAACATCATCATCTGGTTTTCACTGAAAAATTCTTTGCTTATTTATCCCCATATTAACAATGTTAGCATTCTCAAAAAAACTTTTTTTTAAATCATTTTGAAAAGATATTTTTAAAACCAATAGTACAATTAACCTTTTCTTTCCAATAATACTTTTCTTGCATACATCTGTACAAGTTTCTTCAGAATACCTTTCCCCAAACAAACACTTCTTATTTTCTAAGAATACTCATAGATATTTTCATATTGCAATATCTTGAAAACCATTTGTCCAATTCTCCTATTCGCAATAAGAGTTCAGGTGGTAATTTACATAAATATCTCCCATGATGCATCAGTTTGGAAGGGACAAATTTTCATTGGCCCGCCGAATGAGTTGAATACTGAGTTATATGATCCAATCTATTCAATAATCAGAAAGATAATCTGAGATTCAAAGTAGCATTATTTATATTTTTTTGATCTTCGATGACGTCTGAGCAATTTCTGGGAAATCAGTGACGTCACTGGAATTGGACGGCATTTTCAACTACAGATTTCTTCAGATTTGGGGATTATTGTTCAAAAAGTCTTGCTATATATCTTAATTACATACATACCTATCATTTGTGCAAATGCAACTCTACATATGTTTAAAAGAGTCGCAGTGCGGCATTGAAAATAGCACCCCTGTGTAATCCAATGGGAAAGAACCTGGATGTAGACGAAGTTGTACCATACATGAGAGCTCTTCCAAGGGTAGGTAACTAAACTGAACTAAAACTAAACGTTATCGCGTATTGGAGTATTACATTACTGCTTCAGCAGATGAATTGAAAGATATAACATTCTGTTTTTTAAGTGTGAGAGCATAATCGTGTTCTAAGAAAAATATGTCACCATCAATGGGGGATCCTACATGGATTCTTCATCCTAAAAGTCCAACATCAGTTGAAGAGACAAGATTTTATAATGGGAAATCCAAAATGGTCACCTTAACATTTACCTAGAATGCACAAATGTGTTCTTGCTTTTCATACCAAGAAACATCTTCTAAAATTTTGGATCAATTCAACAAATTGTTTAGCTAGAATTGCAAAGAATGTCGAACACCGGCCACAACAAAGTTGAAGACGACATGTGTAACAACAATTTGTCACCACTTGTGGTGGTCACATAAAAAAATTGTGAAAAGTGCTTTTCAGAATAATATTAAGATGTCATTTGAGGTGAAAAATTTGTAGAAATAAGCCTGGAATTTATTGGTTTAAACCAGATGATGATTAGAGAAATAGTTTTCAAGATATTCCAAATGGAAAATTCCCCTGCTTCTGTATGTTTTGTTTTGTTCAAAAATTAGTGAAGAGGGGGGTAGCCTCTGTAGTAAGTATTATGCTAAAATTCAGCACTCCCATTCTCTTTGTTTAATGTAAATAGGCTACTGTTTATCTAGCTTATATAATTTATTTGTACTTGCCAGGGTTTTAACCATATAATAAATCAAGCTTGCTGTTAAGCGCCTGGTTAGTTTTATGCCATTATACTAGATTGTAGGCTAGTGGCCCATGGGTGACTAGATTAGCATATTGTGCCATGTATGACCAAACTGATAAGCCAACTTTAATATGTACATATGCATGTATGACTACACTATAGCCAACTGCAATATGCATGACTACCCTATAGCCAACTGCAATATGCATGACTATACTATAGCCAACTGCAATATGCATGACTATACTATAGCCAACTGCAATATGCATGACTATACTATAGCCAACTGCAATATGTATGACTACACTATAGCCAACTGCAATATGCATGACTACCCTATACAACTGCAATATGCATGACTACACTGTACAACTGCAATATGCATGACTACACTATAGCCAACTGCAATATGCATGACTACCTTATACAACTGCAATATGCATGACTACACTATGTTCTACTCACTAGGATCGGGAGTCACTCCTGAAGAATTTGAAAAAGGTTAACAATACTGAATTTGCTGAATCTAGCGTCACATGCAATCAATCAACTGATCCTTATTGTTCAATCAAGTAAATCTTTTGACCATGAATTCAGATGTATCTTTTAGATCAATTCATTATCTCAAAAAGAGTACAGCCTTGTAAGAGCTCAATAAACTCAGTCTGGTGAGGCACACAACATAATAAAAAGCATGCTTTGTGATCTGAGCTCTTTTACTGTCTGAATACTTCTTTTTTTTACATTTTTCTTATAGATTTTTTTGTGTCTTTGTCTAAGAAAATCGCCCTCTAGAACTTCAATATCAGCCATGTTTATACACTCCTCACTCTAAATTTTGTTTTAACTTGAAGCCGGGTTGTACGAGGTTCATTTTGATTTAAATCACATTTTACCGAATGAATTTAAAATTCCTTTTGAAAAGCGCAAAATATAGCAGCAAGGAGAATACAGTACATCAAACTTTAATTAGACAATTCAGCATTCTTTTTAGCATTTTAAACAATTTTTGATTTTCAAAAATGTTTAAGTTACAACTTACCTCCCCCAACTCCAGCAGGGGGTACTGCCCTGGGGGGTGTAGGGCGTAACGCTGCTTTTGCAGCCCCAGGGTTAAATGCTGGTGGACTGGGTACACTGGGTGCTATTTCATCATCTAGAATTACACAAACAAAATAACATTAAAACCCTGTCGGTAATTTAACATGTCCAATATATCTCCTATATATAGAGGTTATTTAATGGGAGGTTTTTGATACAGGGTATATCTGAGGGAAATAAAATATATCTATATGTTGATATATTGTATTTACCGAGGTATATACCCTGTATCAAAAATCGAGCATTCAATAACTGATTTATCCTATACTTAAGATTAAATATGCATTGAATGTTAGGGAACCCTAATGTAATAATTACAAACGATAATTACAATCAAAACATGAATATTCTATCTCAATTTAAAGTTCTCAACAATTTTTGTTTTTTAAAACTCAACAGCTTTTAACATTTTACAGTGTATGAAATTAATATTTATCAAATAGAGCCAAAGTATATCCCGGGAATTCAAAAAAGCACCGAAAGAAATTCCCGGGGATTGCTGATGAGCGGGTGATATATAGGGGTTATGCACTGGGAGGTTTTGGATACAGGGAATATCCCGAGGGATATACAATATATCTTCCCGAGGGACCGAAGGGACCGAGGGGAGATGTATTGTATATCCCAAGGGATATTCCATGTATCCAAACCGACCGTGCATAACTGGTGTATCTCATACTTGAGTGGGTTTAGGGTAGATATAACCTTTCCACCTTTTTCAAATGACAAGATATTTATATTTAACATTTTTGTAATATTCTTTTTGTTCAATACAATGAAATTGTAACATTTAAACTTAAAAAAAATTAAATTTCAAAATTAAAAAATTAAAACTTTTGATATTTAAACTTTTGAAATTTTTGAAAAATTCCCGGGAGCGGGATGGATATATTATAGCCTATCTGCCCGCATTTGGCCTGGAGCGGGACATATACAATATATCCTGCCCGCTCCTCAGATACGATATATATTCCCGGGTGATGTCTACCCCGAACCCACTCAAGTATGAGATACATCTACAGTATATATGTCCTGCTCACCTCAGCGGGAGATATATAATCATCACCCGCTCACCTTAGATATTGATTATATGCCCACATGTTATTTAGCTATAACATTACTAAGAATGGGATAAACATGTATTTTCCCTCTAATGCTTTTTCTAATTCCCCCGTACATTTTAATTTCTGAACCATTGGACTGTTTGCCTTGTAGATATATAAGGCTGGATAAATAGATGGCAGCATGGATGTTGGTTAGGACCAGAATACTATTGATAAAGCCGGATAGTATACAGAATTCTGGCTAAAAGTCACCTTATTCATCAAGTAAAATGTTGTATTTCGTGGATTTATGTAAAATACCACTGGCATGTGGCAACTAAAGGATCTTGTTGACATGATTGTGGACTGTGATTTAACATTGAAATTGTGACAATTGAAAAAATCATCATTAGATTTCAATGGTGAATTACCTCAACCTAGTCTCGGTTTGGGGAGTTCATCAGTCTACTGCATGTCACCCTGCTTTGGACAATTTTGATATTTTGAATATCCATAATTTAATTTGGGTGATATTCTTATACTTTTTCATTAAACAAGGCACATGACATGAACATCATCAAAAACCTTCAAAATGGCCACCAGAAAACAAGATGGCCACCCAGAAGTTAATCGGCTCTAGAACTTGATATCTATCATGTGTGTGAATTTGGAGAAAATCCGATGAAAAGCTTTGCTGTAATGGTGATGATAAGAGTTATCGAAAAACATTCAAAATGGCCACCAGAAAACAATATGGCAACCCAAAAGTTAATCAGCTCTAAAGCTTGATATCCTCTATCGCTCTAAAGCTTGACATCCTCTATCATGTGTGCAGATTTGGAGAAAATCAGATGAGCTGTTTTGATGTAATGGCGATGACAAGACTTATCAAAAAACCTTCAAAATGGCCACCAGAAAACAAGATGGCCACCCAGAAGTTAATCGGCTCAAGAACTTGATATCCTCTATCATGTGTGCCAATTTGGAGAAAATCTGATGAGCAGTTTTACTGTCATGGCGATGACAAGATTTATCAAAAAAAACTTTAAAATGGCCACTAGGAAAAAATTAGATGGCCACCCAAAAGTTAACCAGCTCTAAAGCTTGATATCCTCTATCATGTGTGTGAATTTGGAGAAAATCCAATGAAAAGTTTTGCTGTAATGGCGATGACATGATTTATCGAAAAACATGCAAAATGGCCACCAGAAAACAAGATGGTCCCCCAAAAGTTAATCAACTCTAAAGCTTGATATCCTCTATCATGTGTGCGAATTTGGAGAAAATCTGAGGAGCGGTTTTGCTGTAATGGCGATGACAAGATTTATCAAAAAAACTTCAAAATGGGCACCAGAAAACAAGATGGCCTCCCAAAAGTTAATCAGCTCTAGAACTTGATATCCTCTATCATGTGTGTCAATTTGGAGATGGTGTTATAAAAATTATTAGCACAGTACACTGATGAACTTCTTTCTCCAAATTGAGACTTGTCTTTAATTGAATTGGTCTACTGTATGTTACGCCTGCTTTAGAAAATTTTGATATTTTTACATCTTGTAGAATTTAATGTCTTCTTTTGAATATTTTTACTTTAATTTGGGTGATATTTCTATATTTTTCAGAAAAAATTATTAGCCAAGGAGACTGTTCTCCAACCTTGTACACATAATTCAAATATGCATCAAATAGAAGAAAATGTTGGTCTTTAATTATATTAAAACGCAGATCTCATAAAAAATCCTGTTAAAACGAGACTATTGGCGGCTGTTTGATGAGATTTGGCACTTTAGCTTATCCTTTATATAAAATATACAGATAGATATTCAAAAAATAAATTCTGGAATTGTTTAAACATGGATGATTAACATCATAATTAATGAAAAATTGGTTTTGAATGCAATGAGTTAATTTTGGTGTTAGTAAAAGCAAAATACATTAGTGAATTAGAAATCTAATATATGTGTATTTCTATTGTCAAGAACTTTAAAGAAGCACACATGAAGTTACAATACTCTTAGTCCATTAAAGGAATACTGGGACATGTACCTACATGTAGATATGCAGGATAAAATCAATCGCATCCCTTTGTTAAGTCAATGGCACCTTGCTCAAATCCTCTTTTTCTCAGAAAATCTCAGTTGAACAAGTCTCAACAAGTACATTCATGTGGGAGAGTATTGGTAGAATTGATTTTCAATAGTAAGAATAGGGGTTCTTAAACAGGACATTAAAGGTTAACTAAGGCCTTTTTGAAATATTTGGTTAGTACTATGAAAAGCAATTCATTTTAACAAAGATTTGAAACCAGAAGCACAATGATAGGTGACATGTAACTTGGGGCAATGTAACACGCATGATAGAATAATGGTGACATATGTAGGATTGGTGATATAGGGATAGTGAAATGTAGCATGGTGAAATGTAACATGAATGATAGAATAATGGTGACATATATAGGATGAGGATATAGAAACATTGATACAGAGCATCGGTGAAATGTAACATGAATGATAGAATAATGGTGACATATGCAAGATGAGGATATAGACACGTTGATACAGTGCATGGGTGAAATGTAACATGAATGATAGAATAATGGTGACATATGCAAGATGAGGATATAGAAACGTTGATACAGAGCATGGGTGAAATGTAACATGAATGATAGAATAATGGTGACATATGTAGGATGGATGATATAGGGATAGTGATATGTAGCATGGGTGAAATGTAACATGAATGATAGAATAATGGTGACATATATAGGATGAGGATATAGAAACATTGATACAGAGCATCGGTGAAATGTAACATGAATGATAGAATAATGGTGACATATGCAGGATAAGGATATAGACACGTTGATACAGAGCATGGGTGAAATGTAACATGAATGAAAGAATAATGGTGACATATGCAGGATGAGGATATAGACACGTTGATACAGTGCATGGGTGAAATGTAAAATGAATGATAGAATAATGGTGACATATGCAGGATGAGGATATAGAAACGTTGATACAGAGCATGGGTGAAATGTAACATGAATGATAGAATAATGGTGACATATGCAGGATGAGGATATTGACACGTTGATAAAGAGCATGGGTGAAATGTAACATGAATGATAGAATAATGGTGACATATGCAGGATGAGGATATTGACACGTTGATAAAGAGCATGGGTGAAATGTAACATGAATGATAGAATAATGGTGACATATGCAGGATGAGGATATAGACACGTTGATACAGAGCATGGGTGAAATATAACATGAATGATAGAATAATGCTGGCATGTGCAGGATTGGTGATATAGACATGGTGATATGTAGCACCGGTCAAATATAGTAAGAAGGACACAAAGCATGGGTGATACATATAGGGTGTATTTATATTTTATAACATGGATGTTATTGCAATGGCGATAGGTAGCAAGCCTGCACGGGTGATAGTACACCAAAGTTGATACATAGCATGCAGGAAATAAAATTGTAATGGAAAAATTTAAAATAGGGAAATAGTAGCAAGAGTATCACTAAGCAAGTGTGACAAGGGGGGTGACATGTAATGTAGGTGATAAAAATCGTAGGTGACAGATTCTAGGTTGAAACCAAACAAGGGTGAAAGCAGTCTTGGTGCAAGGTTACAATGGAACATCATCAGTCATATTGGACACTGAATGACACTTCTGGCGATCTTTTCTTACAAAAGGAAAAAGCATCAGGCAGGAAGGCTACCTTGAACTGGCTGAAGCTCCTCATACATTTCCCCAACACCACATGGATCACTGTAATATGCCGAGTCATCAGATCGCAATGATGTCTTAGAAAGTCTGTTAGGAATAGGCCGGTTACCACCCATGTTAGATTGGGTTGAACTACTGAGTTTTGGAGGCCATTGAACCTTGACTTTTCCCGGAATAGTAGCACTTTTAGCTGTGTCTTCATAAACAAAGGATGATGGTTCAAGATATGAATCGCAGTCCTCCAAGTTGCCACCTAGCCCAGGCTTGTTCATAGATGAAGTAGATTGAGTTGGCAAGGAAGATCTTGAGTTTTGATTTCTACCACCAGAGTTATAAGACCCTTGTCCCCTAGCCGAGTGGCTATGATGTGTAACACGTGTGTCATCATACATACATGTTTCTCCTGAATCTGAATCACAGTCATATGGAATTTGATCATCTGCTGCACCAACTACACAACATTAATGTAATACAGTTAGCATGAATAAATGTAAGCGTACCACCTTCATTATGTACAGGGTGGGCCAAAAAACCTGGAACATTTTCCCATCCAATTTGAGTATAATACTTTGAATAGATCAGGAAATTATTGCGTAATACAACATTGGGCAGCCATTTTGAATTTTCCGAGTCCCCAATCAGAAAAATGATACAATATTTGCAATCTACTCTAAATTGCCTTTCATTTGAGTATAATAAAGCTTAACTTCAGAAAGATCTCAAAATTAACCAACATTTCTGTTTTCCCAACCCCTATACAGGGCTAATATACTAAATATATTACTAAAATTTCAAACAAAATATTTTTAAATCTGGTTTAAAATGAAAAACATAACTTCATTCTTTGGGATAATATTAGGGTTTGAGACATATTGTGCCAGTTGTGAAAAAAGCTGAGGTCAGTTAAGCTATATTATCAAAGGAGACATGTCTAGCTTCTAGAGATAACTACATTTGTTTTAATTGATGGACATTGTGTTGAGACCATTTAAAGGGCATATATTGTCTGGTATGAGATACTGTATTTTCAGAAATGATATCTCAAGCAGAGAAAATTTGGAAAGTTTTCACAATGCACGCAATATACAGATCATGACCATTACAAGCCAAAAATAATCATACATACATATTTTTATCTTTAACATTTTCACAAATAATCATTTTACCATTATCTGAATTTTTGTACATTGAATTGCAATAATAAAGAAAACTGAATAAATAGAAAAATATTCCAATTTTTATTGGTCCACCCTGTACATTTGGTTTGATGGACCTTTAAAATCCCAGATCTGGATTTTGCTTGCATCTCCGCACATTTTAGAGCAGGCTTCATGTATAGAATTGGTGTCCACTAATTGAGCATATTTTCTATGGTCATGACTATCTGGGTTTTCATTCATTGAGGGTGAAATAGTAAAAGTGTGGTGGATAAAACAGATCTATTAAAAATGGAAAGGACAAAGAGCCCCATTTGAATTCTTGTCACCTAATTATTTTAAATAGTGAAGCAAAATTAAGCTTTGAAAGTGGAAACCATTCCAAATAGCAACACAGAGCTGCATGCTTTGACATTGGACTGCTTACACTTTATACTTAAGGAAATGATGGACAATGAGACAATGGACAGGGAATACATTGAAATGCACGAATGCGACACTAAAGCATGCAAAAATGCAAGAAATCTCTGCTTTATGAGTTGCATTTTACATAATACTAAACTACTTCAGTATTATATTAGATGTTCAGATGCTTCCTTGATTTATTTCATAAAGACAAAGGTTCATCCATGAAATCTGAGATAAAATATCTACACCCTTCATGTAAGAAAAGCTAAAATTAAACAGTGTTAACAACATCTGCACACTCTACAAATTATCAACTAGTCATGCATCATAATACAAATGATCATGCACATGCACTACAATACAAATACAGATCATGCACTATGCACATGCACTACAATACAAAAAAAATACCAGACATCTTTTAAGAAAATCAAAAGTATGGTTAGTGTTATGACAACATGTGGATCTATATGAGAAATCAAGAATTAAAGATTCAATGAATCTTATTTGTGTTAGTAAGGAGCAAAATGTTAGGAAGCACATTAATGTTTATCTACCTGGGGTAACTTCATCTGCTATATGCATGTTCATATAGAGCTCTTCAAACTCCCCCAAATGGTCTGATGCTCTACATTGAGAACCTGTAATGAATTGAAAAAGCGAATTTTATATTTTTATCATCTGAAAAGCATCAACAAGATTTTTGATTGTGGTAAATAGGATTATTATGCACCTTGGTTGATTCCTGCTACATGATTTGTTAATTACTAATTAATTTATGTTTAACAGTAATATGACACTTTTTTATAACTTAGTTGAGATGTTTTTGAATCATATCTATGAGAACATTTTGAGCAATTCTTTAAATCATCAGGGTATTTTTTGAAAAACCAGGAATCAAAATCATATGCTATTGCTTGATGTGTAGAATTCATTCCACCTCACAGGGATTTGAACCTATCTCAGTCAATTTCTTTAAATAATGGCAATTCAAGAATTTTGAGTTCAATTCCTGCTGAGGTGAAATGTTTCTTTTCCACACCAGTTCTACTACTTATTGCATTTTTCTGCAACAAAGATGCATGCTCCATATAATGCTTTCTTTGAAAATGTTGAAAAAAACAACAACAGATTGACTGTTACTTTTTTTGAGAGACAATGCAATAAATAGTGATGTGGTCTTTTAAGTGTAATAACAGACATGCATTAACAACAGTAAGACAGTGTCCCCACCTCTCTGCTGTAAGTTTGGATTACTACTGTTGTGTCTCAATGATGGCCGCCCAGTCGTGTTGGTGCTGAATATATTAGGTGAAGAATGTAACCGAGTAGTCCTGGGACGTGGTTCAGTATTAAATGCTGGATTCAGAGTGCTAAAAACTTGCCCAGGAGCTGGTGTATGCAAGTCTGAATAACAAATAATATAAAAAGTCAATTATCACTGAGTTACACTTAGCGAACTGAATGTAGTGGACTCTGGACTTGGACCATAACAATCTGCTGGTCAAACTTAACCTGAAGAAGTAACCACTGTGTTCTGTTGATCACCAAATGCCTCTAATAAATACATATATGGAAATTAACAATAATAATCAACATTTAAGCACATTTATACCAATAAAATTCACTAATTTGTGAACCATTCATATTTATCACAATGGAACTCTAAAGCTCTATATTTTAATCATATCTATTTTATCTATATAAACTATCTAAATTATATAATAAATAATAAACTCTCAACATTACCTCTCTTCATTTTACTAACTGCAAAAAAATAAAACAAAAAAATATAAATTTTGTAGGTGCAACTTCATTCGTCTTATGTTTAGAAGAGCCAGAGATATAAAAAAAATTCTCAGGACTGTCCATGGTACTATTGCTTTTACTAATAAAATAATGTTAAGCTTAAATAATTTCCAATATTTTTAATTCATGGACTTCTAATTATTCAACAATTCACACAATCGTGTGAACAATGCAAATTAATTTAAATAGCCAAATTCAAATACTTATTTCATATTGATGATTTGAATACTTTCAAATCAATACCTATAGACGTAATTTAGCAAAGATAAAGACCCACTTACATTGCTCTATCATGTCCTCATTCTCATAATCTGGCTTTACGTTTCCTGAGAATGAAGCAAACGGCAAATATTCAGCAGAATTACATGAACATGCAATATCATTAGCAGTTGGCATTGCATTGGCAATTATACTCAGCAATACAGAGATCTGTATAATTATCATTACAATCAGCAAGCTATTTCCAATGCTATACACACAGTACTATTTGTATATGTACATTATCTGTAACTGTTTCATCAATGACCTTTGGTGTACAAATACTCAGTTGTGATGAGACAAAAGTAATAAAGTTTGAAAAATGTCGATCAGCTTGTTACAAATATTTTTCAATAACAATAACAATCAATATAATACTCTAATGAAACCATCATATACCCTTTCCCCTACTAAAATTAACATTTGGACACCAATGTTTGTGATACATGGAAAATGCCAATACATCTGATATTATTGATTGAGCTTTAAAACATTTGATCAAATATAATGTGAATCATATTGATCATTAAATTCTTTTATTAAAATATATTATCAAAAGCCTGCATTCTCCAAGCCTGTATTTCTATTGTACTTTACACCCAAAATAATAAAGAATCTTTTTTTATTATTGTATTTATAGGGAAGGATATGCAGTCAGTCATAATTCATGTCTTGATTTTTAACATAACATTATATTTTTATCATTTACCTTTTTTAGCTGTTGAAGCGAAATTTTTTGCAGCTTCATTTATGACATCTACAGAAGAAAAGCAAGCATTTATGACATCTATATAAAGTAAATATTCATGACATCATCAGAAGGGCAGATACAGGAGAAGAGCAAACGTTCATGACATCATCAGATAAAGACCAAAGATCCACAATATTTACAGAACAAAAGCTAATATTGATGACATATGCAGAGACAACTGACACCAATGGAAGAAAACACATTCTGAAAAATAACATTAATCTAAGCCAAAGCTGAACAGCCTGCTCAATAAAATATTACTAACAAATAAATTGTAGGTTTCATGCTTTCATTTAAAGTGCATTTTTTATCGAAAGTGACTATTTTTGAGGCATGCTTTATCAGACATGCTAAAAGTGCTTTGATCACAAATGATTCCACCTCTCACCTTCATTCACGTATAAAGTATCATCATCCTCAATATCTAAATTATGGTTCTCATCACTTCCTTAAAGGCAAAGCAAAGCATAAAATAATTAGGGGATTAAAATTTCTGTTCATGCTGACAGGTATTTCAGGGCCTTGTTCCAGGCAAGGTGTGTAAGATTCAAGCCAATCCAAATGCAGTATTTCAGACAACTGCAATTGTGTAACCAATTACCACACCGAAGGTTATTTATTGAATGGTTGTCAAGGTGACAACTAGACACTACAGATTTAAATTGATGCTTTGCCAACTTGACCCTTGCAAAAGGTTTCATTGAAAATATGTTAGTGATTTTGTATCTTTTAAGTGACATGGTAGAAAATATTTGCAATGTGTGAAAAGAATTTAAGCCTAAGACTCATGCATTGTGGAATGACCATTACTTTCGGGCATTGTTTCCTGAAATTAACACTCATCTCAGGCAAATTTTGGAAAGCAACACCTTCAAAGAATGGTCATTTCTCATTGCACTGAGTCCAGGGTTTAAAGGCCTTTAAATCCTTAATACATTTAAAGGATCATTTACTTTGATTTGCCTCAGCAATTTGAAGATACAGCCATAATTTGTATTTCCTCCTCATTGCTTAATGAATAATCTAACTACAACGTAATATGGATTTTCTATCAAATGGCCTTTCTTATTTTAAATTTGTTGAAGCCACATCAATGTAACATGGAAGTTGTTTTGTATGCTTGCATTAATAATATTAAAAGCAAGGCATTTAAAATCAAATGAAACCACAGTGACCATGCAATCTCTCAATTTTTACTGTACAATAATCTTATTAAATTATTAACATTATTGAATTATTAAGCATTAACATAACAAAATGTCACCATCTGGTAAGTTATTACAAACAGTTATGAAAGAAATGAAATGTTGGTCACATAAAATGGTGGCTATACAATGCCACATGTGGTGACATAAAATATGACGTTATGACTGACGCACGGCACAATTCCTCCATCATGAAACAACCAGGAAGTAGTTGAGCATTGAGGAATTTCATTAGAAAAAATTTCAAAATTTTCAACTATAGAAACTTGAATCGAAAGGAGCCATTAATATATCAAATAAATGAAACGATATTCAATAGCCCAAGCATTGAGGGGGAGTGCATAATCACTGCTCCATTTCCCATGCCATGTTTTAAGCAAGCAAATAAGTAGTATCTGGGAATTATACCTCTTCCATCCAACCAAGCTTCTGAAACAGTTTAGGAAATTCCACATGCAATTAGGGGTATATTAGATTTGTTTGCCCTTGTGGTTCCTTAGATGCAATTATCTCAGATATTATGACTTTATGCAAGTATACTTTTAAAAAATATGCAAGTGAGTGTAATAAGATGTAAAATATGAGATGCAAAACATGCAATTCTAACAATTCTAAAGTGACCATAGCAAATTGTGTGGCAAAAAGGCTATAACATATAGATGGCGACAAGCGCTCACCTGGTGGAAAAAATCCTTCTGGAGTATGTAGGGAATCTGAAAATACAATCCAAAAATAGATTAAAATGACCTGGCACCAAGTATATCTATTATCTGATTGGTACAAATATTTGAAACATTGAGCTTTAATTTGGTTTTAAAACCATTTTAGAGCTTTACATTTTTTGTCCAACGTCACAAATTTCATGACTTGTCTATGAAAATAGTAGTACAAAAATCCACATGATCGAAAAACAGGTAAATTTTGATGACTTATTTGAAATCCTCAATATCCACCATGGGCATATGTGCTGGATCATACAAAAATAAATAAATGTACTGTAGTTCATTTTTATTGAGGACAAAAATTGTACAAGTATATGCACTTACTTGGAAATATTTGTTTTTCATATGGTGGATCAGTGATTCCATCTAAATGGTTTAAATTATTTTCAGTAAATAAAACAGCATCAAGCCCAGCATGATCCAGGAAATACTGCATTATATCCCACAAACATCTTTGTGGCTGCGGCTAAAAACAATTGGGAAATGAATTAAGAATTTTCAATAGCAGTTCTTATTCCATTAACATAATAAATGTGCAGTAAGATTAAATTATGTAAAATATAAATGTTCATGTATATTTAGATCATCCTTCTCAAGTGAAGGAATTGATAGGTCCTGAGAAGATTCCACACTTGAACACCCTATGCAGGGTAGGTTACAGCAAGATAATGAATAGAAAGATATAGTATAAGCGTCTGAACTTCTGAATTTATTGAAAGATCAAATAGGTTGGCCAAAAGTGTTAATCATGAAGAATCCATATGTAAACAGTTGTTGCAACTTAGTGGCTCTAACCATTATTCTCCATTAAACCATTTTATTAAGACTAAGACTAATAATAAAAACTTACACATTGCTGAATATTTAGCTTGAAGCCCTCAGCAACACGCTGCACTTCATAATGACTAATGACAGCATTCCTAAATACGCAGAGCATAAACAATGTGACAAATAGTGTTTGTAGGTTACAAAATGGTATAATCATGGAGTTTCAAGAAAAAACACATTTGTATAATGTTCTGAATGAGTCAAGGTGCAGGGATGTAGCCAGTAATTGTCAAGGGTGCGATTTTTTGGGTTTGCATCACTGCGAGCTAAGTGAGCCGCAAAAAGAAGGGTACAGGGGTTTACCCCAGGAAATTGTTTAAAATCTATGTTGTATATGGTGCATTCTAACCATTTCAAACTATAATTTGTTGCGATCGCACCCATGGCACCCCCTAGCTACACCCATGTGATGTGTATGTGTTACATCTTCTTTGACAATATGACCAGCACGATTGACAGTGCCAGTGCCATGAGATCATTGTAGCAGTCATAGTTTCACTCTGCACCAATAAAGTCATGAATGTTCATAATTCTGGCCCCAATGTTATATCAATGACTCTGATGGTTAAACAACATTCAAGGATATTTGCCAACATTGTATAAACGTTTGTCAAAGCTTAATTATAGAAGGAAATTGAACAAAAGAATTGAAATGGCACTACTGAATGAAATGGCATCTAGGCATCATAACCATTGAAAAACATTTCTTCTTTTGACAAAACTTAACACTCTGCCATACTCCTTTTACATTACTCCAAAAGTAAATAAGTGATTACCTTGCAATAATCTGCAACAGTAATATGAGATGACAAAGTATATGAACCAAGCGCCATCTATCAAAGCACACTTACCCTCCAGTAACACGTCGCCAAGATACAACATAACTTCCTGTTTCTCGGAATGTTGTACTTTCCCTCAACAGAACACTTCCATATCTACGATTGTTTGTAAGTATTGACTCTGCCTGGTCCCGGGAACATCTCTCAAAAAACCAGCTGAAATAAATAATTATCACTCATGGTTTGCAATAAATGACACACCTTCATTTCATTAACATGACAATTGTAACCACCTAGTAAATGATTACAAATGATTACAAAAGAATAGCAATTGGAAGGCACCAGTAGGAAGGAAGGCTTATTTGGGTCAGACAATGGCACATAAAGGAAAATGTTCTCTCAAACTTGAATTTTCAATAGATTTAGTGGATCAATTCAAGTCATAAAAACATTCTGAAAGTTTTTGTGTTCTCTTTTCATTTGTTTCATAGAGGGAACAATCTCTTATATGTATTCAACTTTTGGAGTTACTTTATACAATCAGTGGAATAACTTGATATTATTTCAGTCTTTGTTATGACAAAATGTCATCCATAGCATGTCAAATCATTAAACTAATACCAAGGCTAAGTTCAAGTTCAAGTACATGCCAGAGTTATTTTTAAATATTTTAAAATGGTGCTTTTGAAGTAGTGCTACTTTGGTTTAACCTTTAATTCTTAGAAAATAGATCACTTTCAAAAGCCAATGAATCCACAATTTAATGTCAGTTGAAGATTTAAAAATGTATGTCAACAGAATAGTAAATATTGGTACAAACAAGTTCAAAAGATATTATTTGCATATTTGTACACATGTAGCACTAGTTCATGTTCTTAATATCCTCTTAACACTACTAAGAAGTTCAGTGGCATAAGAATGCCTAAACCTGTAATTGTTAAGGAGTAGTATCTGGCCTTATTAAAAAACTTTTCTTTTCAATTCTCAAATCAAGAAAATAAATAAAACATACTGCTAAATTTCAGAAACTTCTTACAATTTTGTTTCAAATTATTGCAGCCTGAAAAGTATCATCCATCTAGCCAATATATCCCAGTTCCTCAGTTCAACAAAAGAGGTCAGGATTTATTTTGAAAGTCTAATGGATTATAATGAAATTACAAAATGAAGATTCTAAAAGTTTATTTGCTTTGAATTATCATTTATAGCAATCCTCTTTCAACTGGGAGGGCCAATCAAGATATAATAATGTGAAGCAGCCTCTTGACATTAAGTTTATAACTTACTTTTATGCTGTTTATTGTGTTTACTCTGTGCATGCCATCATATAATATGATGTAGTGTTATTTAATATGTATTCTGGCATGTAATGAATACTAATGAATACTATGTCATACCAAGACATTTTTAGACAAAAAAACATATAAGATGCACTAGTTATGGTTTCAAACATCTCATGTTTTTATACTTCCACTCTTCCATATCACATTTTCTCGGGGAGAAATTCATATTCAATCATGATCATCCTTAACCTATTTATTTCATAATATTTTTACATTATAGTTTTACATCCTGATACTGGATTTTGGCTGATGTGGGATTGAATATGGAATTTTGGCTAATACGGAATATGATAAGGTATTTTTGAATATCAAATCTATTCCCTGTTTCTTTCCAATGGAAAACACGTTATTTATGGAATAATGACAGTTTATTTACTTGTAAAATATGAAAATTATGAAAAATATTCTGTTCATTTAAATCACATAAACTGTAACAATGAGGGGTTGAGAAGGGAGTCTAATTCCTTGTTAAATAATTTGAAATAACATATAATGAAAATGGACTTACCTTGGAGCAGGGGTACCAGCTCTGTCCACCCCATTCCAGAATTTATGTTTCTGGAACACACATATTCAATATTATAATTTTTATTTCAAACATTAATGCCAGTTTTTGGTTTTTTCTACTCTATTCAATGCTTTAAGGCTTGGAAGAATAGTCAATGAAATGAAAACAAATGTTTAATGATTTCCATACTCAAGGCAAGAAGATAAAGTTATGTATCTCATACTTGAGTTGGTTTGGGGAAGATATCACCCAGGAATATATATCATATAATATCTGAGGAGCGGGCAGGATATATTGTATATGTCCCGCTCCAGGCCAAATGCGGGCAGATATTATATATCCATCCTGCTCCAGTGAATTTTTCAATATAATTGTTCTTATTTCCGTGCAGTATAATGATGCACTGTTTGACTTCTTCAGAATTTTCTATCTATTGAAAATCTACTCAAGTATGAGATACACCAGTTATGTATGGTCGGTTTTAGATGAGAACACTTTAAAGAAAACAAACCTGGATATGGGTATTCTGAAAACCTTGCAAAACACTTGTGAAACCTCACTTGGCATAGGATAAACTAGACAACAGCAACGCCAAAGCGTAGCAAATCCCATCAAACAGCCATGACTGCCATTTTTACAAAGTATAAAGAAAAAATGGCAGCCATTTTTCAAAATGGGCACCTTCTACCAAAAGTATCATTTGACAGTGTGCCATGCTTATAGTATTCACATACCAAATATGAACAAAATCGCTCCATTACTTTTCGAGTAAAATACGTTACAACAGTATAATGATGCACTGTTTGACTTCTTCAGAATTTTCTATCTATTGAAAATCTACTCAAGTATGAGATACACCAGTTATGTATGGTCGGTTTTAGATGAGAACACTTTAAAGAAAACAAACCTGGATATGGGTATTCTGAAAACCTTGCAAAACACTTGTGAAACCTCACTTGGCATAGGATAAACTAGACAACAGCAACGCCAAAGCGTAGCAAATCCCATCAAACAGCCATGACTGCCATTTTTACAAAGTATAAAGAAAAAATGGCAGCCATTTTTCAAAATGGCCACCTTCTACCAAAAGTGTCATTAGACAGTGTGCCATGCTTATAGTATTCACATACCAAATATGAACAAAATCGCTCCACTACTTTTCGAGTTACAGCAAAAATCGTAAAATAATGAGTAAAGGCCGCCATTTTTCAAGATGGCTGCCATGTGCTTCTTAAATATCTACATTTCTAGCTTTTTTAATGTCCTATAATTTTTTTACATTTAAAACATATTGCTATTACAGTTTTACATATTGCACCTAAATTACTGTAAAATCGGCAATAAAATGGCCGCCAATTTTAACTGAGTGGCCATTTTGAAAATTGGCTTTTGAGCAGAACTTCTATCCCTATAGGATAAGTGTACAAAATATGAACAAAATCGGGCCAACAGGATTTGAGTTCTTGCCCGGACGGACGGACAGACGGACGGATGGATGGACAGACCGATGTACGTACGTACGGATGGACGGACAGACGGAGGCATCCCTATATCCCTCCGAACTTTGTTCGATGGGATAATTAGTTATATAATGCTCGGTTTTGAATATGGGTCAGAGAATATGATAGTTTACCTCGGACCTTCCAGTCTCTCGGTAAGATATCTATACTTCCCTTTGAATATAACCCATATCCAAAATACTCTATATTAACGGCAGGGAAATTTCAAAAAACTGAAAATTAGCGAAATATAATAGCCGCGAAATTCACTCCTAAAATCCCCTTTCAACTACTGAACTTTTTTGTAGCACACTTAACACTGTTACAGTTAACATGTTTTTTGTTTGTTTTTTTATTAAAATAACATTTATTTTCCTTTAAAATAAACTTACAATTATACATTAACATCGATCATACAAAACAAACATTCATGTCTACAAATATAATATCTTTTGTTTATGAAACTCGCTTGTTATAAGTTAAAAATTTGGATTGTTTTTCTGGCTATGAGAACATCTTTATTTGAACATGCTTGAAAACCTAAAATTTGTTCATCTGTCAAATTGAAATTATTCCAAATATCTTTGACTTTATTATATTTAATAAAATGATGTACAATAGTGTCATTCACTCCACATTGGTCACATAAAAGAGAACTTGAACAGGACCAAATTACATGGATAAATATTGTGGAGTGACTTACAATGTAAATACAGAGCATATTTTCATTGGTACAATTATGAGTTCGCAACCAGTAAGTGCTTTTATCAATTATTACATTGTTCATTAAAACATCCAGATTTCTACGTTTGACAAATTCATTTCTAATTCATATAGTAAAATATAACCTTCTGCTCATGTATAATATAAATCTTAAAAAGTGGTGATATAATACTTACTGTTGGTAAAACAGTATCGTATGAATATACAGTATCTGCCATCTTGTTACTTTTGAAATCCTACTTTATCCAAAGATTCATTTAATATTTTCATTATTTTGATATGTTATGCCTAGTTCCTCTAATTGGTGTACTTAATGATGACTTATGTACTTGCAACATTCAGTAGAGTCCACCAATAATTGTTCATTCCTGGTTTTGTTTGTTTAGTGATTAGAATTTTGTTTGCCAATGTTATTTTATTCTATTTCATTCGCAATGCACTCTGTATTGAATCTAAGTGTTGGGTTAGTATTTAGTTTATGATACACTTAATAGGACATGTTATTTTTTAACTTCCCTATTTGCAAATAATCTTATTATGATGATCGAAAATGTACCTTGTGAAATTGTCATGATAAGTTACTAAAATGTTAATGCATTCCTATGCAATTTAGAGTTTATTTATCTCACTTCAGTTCTGCTTTCGTGTGAAAAGTTTGTATTTAGTTTCACTTCCCTGTTCAGTAGCACTCTTAACCTTGAAGGTTGACTATGATTGATCAAGCTAGGTCACCAATAGCATATGAAATAATCCAGATTTGTTAGATATACTTCACAAAAGTATATCATTAATCTGCCGCATTCAGCTGTTTTTCCCATAGCATATTTTCAAATACTGTCATAACATGCAGTCCCGTTTATATTAAATGCCAGTCAAAGGGACCTGTCTAATCAAATGAAATGAAAAACACTTTTATAACCTTCATAAAAATCTTCTTTGTACATTATCTATGACCCAAACATAAGCACGTTAACCCGAGAAAGTTGTTTCTCTTGCAAAATATTTGATCATAAGGAGTGGATTTAGGAAGACATTATCACTGGTCAGTATCAAGTGAAGGTAACAGCCACAACCTTTGCATCTAAGATGGCTGACGGTAATTGTTGATTTTGATACTTTTAGTTTTCATCAAATTAAACTATTTTATAGCTGACTTTATGCTTTGATATTTGAATCAAATCCGACTTATATGACATGGGAACTCTGGAGTATGATCATTTGTTCATATATCGTTTGTGGGAACCATAATTCAACGATATCTTCTACCACTTATGGGAAGGTGGCAATGTATAATACAGTAATGGTCATGTTAGTTTTCTATCTGCTGTAACTGGACATTTTAGCTCATTACCACATATCTGTTATCATCGTAAATCCAAAATTCTTCTTACATTCCCTTAAGCAGGTACCTATGCAAGGTATATGAACAAATGATCATACTCTAGTTTCCATGTCATATATGGCTGGTATAGTTCAAATATCAAAGCATTACATCAATGATAACCAGGATGATAACGTAGTTTAATTCAATGAAAAAATATCAAAATCAACACTTACAATCCGCCATCTTTGATACGAAGGTTACGGCCGTTACCTTCGCTTGATACTGACCAGTGATTATTTCACTCAGAATATGCAGAATCAGAATGGATCAGTAACAGCAGCAGACAAATGAACATGCATATACCAAACAAATGTAACACAACATACACCAAACAAATGTAAGTCACAAAGGACAAAAGTAACATATTTCAGATAAATGTAACATCATACAAGATAAATACACAAGACAAATGTAGCAAATCCTGGGGAAACAGAACAGACCAGACACATACTAGACAAATGTAACATAAACTAGACAAATCTACGATTAACTATGTGATATGGTTTGATGATCCATACCCCATATTACTGTTTAAGAGTTGCCCATAAATGATATGGGTTCTTGGTTGAATATCCAGGTACCAGGAAGAATCTATTACAATTGTTCAATGTTAGATTTACAAAATTAACTTGTATATATACAATCATTATGTGTAACATGTCACATAAATAAACAGGCCTAAAGCATTAAAGTTTTGTTTATCAAAGCGGAAAAATTGAGTAGTACACAATAACCCCAAAAAAGGCTCTGTATTCAATACCAAAACATTAATATGTCTATGACAGGTATAACCCTTAAAAAATGTTTTGGGCTCTATTCATACCCTGCACTTGAAGATTGTCATTGTAATTGGATTGTATTGAATGTTGCAGTATAAATGTAAATTGAGGAATGAAGTACATCCCTGTTGAAGTGAAGATATTTATTGAATCAATGCCAAGAATTTGACCTTCACCACCAACCAATATGATGATGTTCCAAAATGTTTGTAAAAAAATTGGGAAATACCAATATATTAGAGTTTTACATGCATCCTTGTATAAATGTCTTTTTTGGAGTTCAAATCATGGCCATCCAAATCAGGATTAACTTTGAAATCTCTCTAAAGTATGAGGTGTTTTCTATGTTATACCATTTCATCTTTCATACAAGCTCATCATAATATAAGGTTTTACCTACCATATAAGGTTCATCAGAAGAATTGGATTGCATAGAATTAGCAGCAGAACCCCCAGAACTTGAATCAAATGAGACCCCTGGAGTTGAAACGGAATGGACTCTTTGAGGTCTTCCAGGAGATATTGGAGTCACTCCTCTTGTGTTGATGTAGTCTCCTTCATTTTGTTTGGGTGATGACATTGTCCCTGACCCCATTGATCCTGTGAGTGAGGGTCGTCGCCCTGGTAACGCAGGGGGATGGTCAGTGTAGTGAAAATCATCAATTGCTTTTTGAACATCTATTCGATGACCTGGTAGCAAATCAAGGTCAGATGGTAGACTACCCTAAAATATAACATAAACAGTATATTTTTAATATTTGATAAAAGAATGGAGGAGTAGTTTCAGGGATTGTTTCAAGTCAAAGCATTCCTTGTTTGGGTGAAATACATGTACAATGACATATCAGTTGTAACTGAATATCTCTTGAAAAGTCTGCATTATGAATTATTAAACTAAATATCAGGCCTCCTGGACTTCCACCAACACAAACATCAGTTCTGTCCTCGCGAACTACATTCCTTGCACTTGAACCACGATTCTCACATCGCGAACGTGAAATCTTAAGTCGCGCACCACCATTTCCTCGTTCCTGTACATATTTCTCTACTCACACACAGAGATCCATGCTTGTGAGCAATTTGTAGATGGTGCATCTGGGTATTTGGGATTCAAAGATATATGGATGCTATTATCTTTAATTCGAATAATGCCCCTGGTGATACATGTAATGTGTGGCGTCATAACGGTGGGCCGTAGTAATGGAGGACCATAATGTATATTCGAAACATTTTGGTGAGTTCGAATCTTAATATAAACCTCAGAGCAGGTGTAATATCCTAGAATACACCCCGCAGGGCTAGGCACAAAAGTTTTTGAAAACAGAAAACGTTTGTGCCTAGCCCTCATGGTGTATTCGATGATATTACCCCTGTTATTCATCCTATATTTCTTAATTAGCGGATATTCATTAACATGCAGGAAAAACTAGAAATGCATTTGTTCCGAATTCAAAATAAAAACACTTTGATGGAGTATTACTTATGCGTAAAAATGCGAATAAAATTACAGAAATTTTTTCGATCAAGTACGTGGTTCGCAAGCACGGATCTCTGTGCGGGAGTGGAGTAATATGTTCGTGATCGAGGAAATGGTGGGGCTGGACTTAAGATTTCAAGTTCGCGATGTGAGAATCGTGGTTCAAGTGCAAGGATTGTTGTTGGTGAGGACAGAACTGATGGTCGTGTTGGTTGAAGTCTAGGAGGCCTGAATATGATCTAAATGATCCCACATGTGGTCTACATAGCCTTTAATGACAGTCAGAAATTGAAAATAATATCAGCTACCTAAAAGCATAGTTTTCTGACAAAATTCTCTAATTATCTCTAATTTAAGAGCTCTCGGAAAGGTTATATACTAACTGTTCCTAATCCTATAATGTAGGCTTTCCACAGATCCCTGTCATTGCGCTGTTCACACTGCAAAATAAAAGTATAAAAATACATGTTTGGGGATTCATTTCACATAGTCAAGATCAAATTCACTTTCTGGGTGATGAGCATTATATTAGGCCATCAATGACATATAAGAAATCAGAATGGACATGAGAGTAGTGTTACAGATATTTTCATGATTAACTATAAGTAATATATAGAATTGCACAACAAAACTTAACTGTAGGCTGAATAAGAATTTAAATAGAAAACAGCAACTCCACGGAATAGAAAATCCCACAAAAGAAAACATATTTTATTAAATACATTGACATTACATGATTTAAATAACCAGGAAATAGTAGAGTAGTAAGAGTATAACAATTACAGAATGGACATTATCTTACCTTAAACTTATTGACAAGGCGTTTATTTTGCATGCCAAATATAGAAACAATAACCTCAAGTTTATAAGGTCCCTTTTTCCCATCAGTGCCATTCTTACACTCAGTGTCTTTCCCAAGAGGGAGCATACCCACCAACTGTAATAAAAACATTCAATTAATTATTATATAATCAATGTGATATTCTTAATATGTCATGTTAATTATACACAATAACCTCAATACACATCATCAAAAGTTCATATTCTGCAAAAAAGCTAAGTTATTTCTATTATGTGATTCAACACAAAACCCTAAAAGATATTATTATTATATAACATTATGACCAGCAGTTTACCTTAATAATAAAAAAGAAAATACAGGTAGACATAAAATTGCACCATTCTGTGGGCTCAAATGGTGAAAAAGTCAATTTCTCTGAACTGACGCAAAAGTAGAAGCTGGAACCAAAGGTATAAATTACCAGAATGAACTCCCATAAATTGGATTTAAGTGCATTAGTTTAGAGGATTGCAAGTTTTCATTCAAATATTGTTTGTGGGTGGACAGATAAACAGTGACTGATTCCATAAGATTACCAATGATCATGTGAGTCATTAATTATACCAGAAATCTGAAGCCAAATAGTTTTTAAATTGAAATTCTTTAAAAGAAATTCAGATTTTACATACATGCAATTTTCCTGCTAACATTGAACATTTTAATAAGGATTATAATTTTTTAAAGCACTTTATCCCATTTTTTGATTGAACTCTTCTGCAAGATATTGGGTTACTCTCATGCCAACGTTCTAATCTATCACCTTAAACCTAATGTCTACAATATTTAAAATTTGTACCCAACAATATCTATAAGCTTAGATTTCTAAGAATTCTCTAAGCATTTATCTTTTGGGCCAATGTCTTATAGGCTGATACTGGTATTTGAATAGAAAGATAATGTCTCAGTAATAGTTTATTGAGTTGGTCATCTTAAAGGCAGAATCTGATCTATAGGGGGGGACAAAATTACAAGCAACATGTATAATTGACCTACCAATCTATTCCTTACAATATCAAACACAATATCTCCCAAAAGATTCACAATATGTTATAAATTGGTGAATTTATTAATGATTAAAAGTGCAAAAATGAGTGAAAATGTTTAAATTCTCCCAAATAATAAAAATGGTAACCATTCTTATAGGAAAATAATATATTATTGTAAAAATCTTCAGTTTTCCTGGAATAAAGTATGCACTTTTGTGAAAATAGACATGACAAGGAATGATATGAGCCAAAAATATTCTAAAATTGAAACAATTTTTTGTTTAGCCTGCTCGCTATATCTGATTCTCTCTTTAAGCTTTGTATTCAAATTTGTCCTAGCAATGACAAACAAAATACAAGTATGCAATAATAATACAAATTTACAAAATATTATTAAATTTTATTGTATTGTTTGAAAATGTCTTTTACCATGACATTAATCAAATTCTTTCATTATCATCATTGTCAAGTAAATTGTGTCAACTGGTCAATATATTTTTTGGGATTGGATCTTATTAGTGATTCAAAAATATACATTACAATTTAATACATTTGGAAATCGCTACTAAGTTAACCAGAACAACGGCAACGCCAAAGCGTAGCGAATCCCATCGAACAGCCATGGATGGCATTTTAACAAACAAAGTATATAGCAAAAATGGCAGGCATTTTTCAAAATGGCCGCCTTCTACCAAAAGTGTCATTAGACCATTTGCCATACTTATAGTATTCACATACCAAATAAAAACAAAATTGCTCCACTACTTTTCGAGTTATAGTAAAATACGTTAAAATGGTGGCCATTTTGAAAAATGGCCGCCTTCTACCAAAAGTGTCATTAGACAGTGTGCCATCCTTATAGTATTCACATACCAAATATGAACAAAATCACTTCACTACTTTTCGAGTTATAGTAAAATAGGTTAAAATGGCTGCCATTTTTCAAAATGGCGGCTATTTTTTAAAATGGCCACCTTCTACCAAAAGTGTCATAGGATAGTGTGTCATGCTTTTAGTATTCACATACCAAATATGAACAAAATCGCTCCACTACTTTTCGAGTTACAGCAAAAATCGTAATATAACGAGTAAAGGCCGCCATTTTTCAAGATGGCTGCCATGTGCTTCTTTAATATCTACATTTCTAGCTTTATTAATGTCCTATATAATTTTTTTACATCTAAAACATATTGCTATTACAGTTTTACATATTGCACCTAAATTACTGTAAATTCGGCACTAAAACTCCATTTTGAAAATCGGCTTTCGAGCAGAACTTCTATCTCCATAGGGTATATGTGTACAAAATATGAACAAAATCGGGCCAACGGTATTTGAGTTATTGTACGGACGTACGTATGGACGGACGGACAGACGGACGGACGGAGGCGTTCCCTATATCCCTCCGAACTTTGTTCGATGGGATAATTATTTCCTGGTACTACATTATTCCTTTCACTTTTTATTTTGTGGTGCCCTTATAGACATATTACCTAACTATTTCAAGCTACTATAATCATAATGGCTTGCATGTTTTCTAATATTAAAAACTGTGATCAATTAAAAAGTATATGGTAATATGTCTGGCTGTCTGCCTGTCCACCTACACTGCTATACCATGTGACACAAAAAATGACACCCACCCACACATAATGTTTCATAACTTTTAAGTCTGCTGAAATTCTGACTTGTCTTTTTTCGCACATTAAAACTACACTACATTTTGCAACTCCAATTTTCAGATGACTAGCTTACTGACCTAGATGCACATTTATGAGCATTACAAAATGTGCCATCTATTCCTTTGTAAAGCTCATAAAATTTGACCCACTTGAGCTACACATCTGAAATTGATGGAGGTGCTTTCACATTATGTCTGCTTTATATTTGCCAAAGGACAAGTCTGTATATTAATAGACAAACAAATTATGCAACGTAAGGTAGGTGTCATTTTTTGTGTCACCCTGTATATACAATGGTAACCAAAATTAATGTTGCAATAGTTCATATTCAAGGAAATCAAGCTTACTCAATTGAAAGGGGTCACAAAGTAATTAATTCAGATGTGTTACATATTAATTCAAAATATGTGGTAGGTCTTCATGGAAGTGAATGGTGAGGGCAAGGTAAGATCTCTTACATGTCATCTAAAAGTTCAATATATGGGTGACATGTCAAGGTCATATTTACAAGATTAACTAAAAGTTCAATATATGGGTGACATGTCAAGGTCATATTTACAGATCAACTAAAAGGCCAATATATGGGTGACATGTCAAGGTCATATTTACAAGATCAACTAAAATGTCAATGTATGGGTGACATGTCAAGGTCATATTTACAAGATTAACTAAAATGTCAATGTATGGGTGACATGTCAAGGTCATATTTACAAGATTAACTGAAAGTTCAATATATGGGTGATATGTCAAGGTCATATTTACAAGATCAACTTAAAGGTCAATATATGGGTGACATGTCAAGGTCATATTTACAAGATTAACTAAAAGTTCAATTTATGGGTGACATGTCAAGGTCATATTTACAAGATTAACTAAAAGTTCAATATATGGGTGACATGTCAAGGTCGTATTAACAAGATCAACTAAAAGCTCAATATATGGGTGATATGTCAAGGTCATATTTACAAGATCAACTTAAAGGTCAATATATGGTGACATGTCAAGGTCATATTTACAAGATCAACTAAAAGGTCAATATATTGGTGACTTGTCAAGGTCATATTTACAGATCAACTAAAAGGTCAATATCTACATGTACAGTAAAACCTGTATATCTGAACACCTGGCTAATCCGAACACCTTCCAATTTGAACACTTTTTTTCGGTCCCATTTTTTCCTCCCATTGACTCCCATGTTAAATAAACCTTGAAATCTGAACACCTCCTAATCTGAACAGTGAACAACCAGATATGAAAAAGTGACCTGTTTAATCTGAACATTTTTATCAGAAATCAAATGTCTGGACATTTCAATAATAGCCACATATTGAGTCAATGTTATAGTTGTTATTTATCTTTACATATACATGGTACAATGTAATCAAAGAACTAATACTGTCCTAATTAACTTATTTAGTCTCAGTGACATCCCTTACTTGTGGAAAACAACAGGATGATTTGAAAAGGTGTGAATACAGGAGTTAATTGGTTTATCCTATTAGAAAAGAACTGAATGTTTTATGCTTGGATTAAGAGAAAGGTGTAAATCAAGAAGATAATTGATTTATCATTATTGAAAATTACCTGGATGTTTTTGATTTGGATTAAGAGAAAGGTGAGAATCTGGGAGATAATTGGTTTATCCTAATTGTAAATTAACTGGATGTTTTTGATTTGGATTATGAACAGGTCTTAGATGTTTTATATCCCATGGGTCTGTTATGATAGCTAAGATTCAATCAGTAAATGTTTTATAATCACAAAGACAACACAGACACAATTGCAGACAAGATTTCACGAGAAAGAGAAAAAATTCAACTTCGTAATAACCTATCACTAAAATGCCTCCTAAAAAGGGAGGATTATACATCATCTCGAATGAACACTCATAAAAAATTCTTTTTACTTGAAGAGGATATCTATTCAAATATTGCTAATGCTAAAAGTGCCAAAAAACAAACAACAATGAAGGACCTTTTCAAGCAAAAGTAAAGCAGTGCTATATAACCATAATATGGGATAAGTCATTTGAGAAGCTTAAGATTTTGTACGAGACTATCATATACTTATACTGTCAGTGTATTACAAAGTTTTTACCAAAATATAAGTTATTTTTACTAAAATAATGAAATTGTTCAAAATGTAAATAAAAATAGCATATAGGCTATAGGCCATCAACAACATGTATTGTTTTCTGACTTAGTATTAAGTGTTCAATATAGTGGACTGAACAATGAAAATCCCCTCCCCCTGATCAACAATATCCTCGAAATTTGAACACCTGCCAATTTGAACGCTTTTGGCTGGTCCCATGGGTGTTCGGATTAGACAGGTTTTACTGTACATTACTGAGATTTACATACTATCTAGCTATTTACCTATAAGTTGAAGTACATATCTATATATTACATAAAACTTGATTGAATGC